TACAAATGAAAGGTTAAGGTTCTGGGGAGCAAAATTCCTTTGATAGAACTTTAAAAATGCAGGAACAGCATATCATTGCAAGAGTTATTACATTTTATTATAAGCTTTGAGAACAAAAGTATTAAATATGAAAAGGGAGCTGATCATTTTTGAAAAAGAAAAGTGCAGCATAATAAAAATACCTTTGACTTCTTGTTTTCTTTTATAATCGATCCTTACTCGTGATGCGCTTTTCTTATCACAACCTGTTACCATGTTATTCAATAAAACACATGTATTGCAACAGCGCTTTGTGTAAATATTGATTAAAATGCACATCTTTTTATATTTACTTGGATAGTGAAATAGGAGGTATCAAACTATTGAATTCTTTATCTTAACCCTGTAACAGAAGGTGGTCCTACTGACAATAAAACTGAAAGAATTTCATTTTCTCCCTTTTAGTTGATACCTTTACATAAAGTATGTATATACATGTAATAATAATAATAATAATAATAATAATAAAATCAATATTGATTTTCTTTTAAAATAGCTATGTATTTATAAATCAAAAAAACAATTTTCATCCGTGCAAACAGAAATTTCTTTAAAAATACTAAGAAAAGACATCCCCAAAGGTACCAAATGTTAGATGAAGTTAGTATTCTGTTCTTCATTGGCTAAAACTACACGAAAACTCCTTGTATAAATGTAATTGCTAGACACTCCTAATGGTTTTAACGGTTTTAGATCGTCTGGAGAGGATGTCGAGGTCAGAAAAGAATGTATTTTTTCAGAAAACTGACATCGACAAGGGATTAATAGCATCGTCCTCCGCTCAAAAATAGCTTGAATGACGACTATACGTTAGAAAGGGCTTCTTACACTTTCTTCTCTTATAGAATAATTGCATTATTAAGTAACTAGTCTAGCAAATCCAATGACTTTGGGTCACGATTTAGTATTTTGCGATCTAAAGAAATGTATTCAATAAAAGAAAATTATTTTTTTTTTTGAAACATAAATATAAGATTTTGAGGGCTTATAGAAACCAACTCATGTTTTGAGCTTTGCATGGAATATTATATTTTTTTTCACATTTTGGAAGTTACTTATAATTTGAGGATATAGTTTGTTTTTTTTAACTTATAGGAGATAGCAAATAATCGCCAGCACCAGTATTCCTACAATAACATATCGATCTGCTTCCAGTTTAAACACAGACTCAGATGCATAGGATATTCCCTATTAGAACTGAATTTTCCCATGACACTTAATTCTATGAGCTAACACAGGCCTCTGTGAAGTTTTTAACCGTCAGATGATTAAATTATTCTTAGATCAAACAAATTCACTATGACAGCTGAATTTGATTACTGAATGAATTAAGGCACTATATAGTCCGTTATTATTGACGTTTTTTTCCCCTCATTTGGTGTGCTAGGATTCTAATCCATGTTCCAATTTTACTGTCTATTCACTTAACACATTTGCTGATAGAAATGTTTTTACTTTGTTCCTAAATACAGGAGTCGTTTGGACCATTGTATGAATTTCAGATGATAAGAATACAGTTCAATTGTTCCTTGTAATACAATTAATTCTAGGCCTAGGATTCTATGCTTAGCATTTTTTCATGATGAAAGAAGGCTAATGTATTCAAACAAATGATTTAAAAATACAGTTGAAGAAAGTGAAACATTAAAAATATTGCAGAATAAGAACATCAATGAATGTTTGCACATTTTGTTTACAATTACAAATAACAAACAAATTATAAACTCACGCGCCTCTTTTAGGGAAAATCTATACAAATATTTACATGAACAGTTCACAGTGAAGGAGAATTATTAAGACCCTCTAAATTGAGCAAGATGACATGAACATACATTTTATCACAGTTATAAACACATTATGAAACAAATATCTATTATGACAAACGAGATAAGATATTGTTTCTTTTTACTTGATCGTGACATGAAGTAGCATTCCAGAACATTTAACTTTAAAGATCAGATAAATTGATAGATATAAGTAATAATCTATATTGAACATGTAATTGGACAAGGGATGATAGAATTACATATTAGTTTAAATAATCCGGAAACATAATATACACAATCGATAAGAGATCCTTTGTAATTCAGCTGTATGCTTTACAAAATGTTCACTGAAAGGAAAGTTAAAACTTTGACAGTTATTGAAAGTGCACTACTAAAAAATTCTACAGTTAAGAAAAATACAGCTTTGATTTTTCTAGAAATTCTTTTGAAATCTTATTCTTCTTTAAATAAAAAAAACTTTATAATATTTGACTCATATCTACCTAAAATCATCTGAAATAATAGTAAATTCCACTGTTTGATTATTTGTTTCATCCTGATCATAATTTAATATTAATTCACATTATCTATATTAAGAATCCATCATTTATTAAAGTTGACATAATAAATGACGAACTGCAATACTGATCCATGATCAGTGACGTATTTTGAAAAAAATTATTTCGACATCTGATTTTTTTGTAATTAATTAACTGAAAACTATATGACTACATGTATACCGTATCTTATCTCGTATGTCATGTTTTAAAGTTTTCATTATTTATACATGACAGCTCTTCGTTATAATATGTTCACAATCCTACAAAACGCAAAGGCTTCAAGTCTTGAGCCAAAGTGTACTAAAACATGATTAAATTTCGAAAACTTTTGTCAACAAGAAGTGAAAAAATGAAAGGGCATCAGGAGTCAGGAAACATAAATGCCCTCGTTAAAAGGTTACAGGGGTTTAGAGAAAACACTTTCCCTATTTCACCGTGTTGCCACTTTGTGTCGCTTTCAGCGATCAACACAAGATAAGGCGTACGTAAATTGCAGTAAATATATAATTCAAGTCTTCAATATTACTGTTGTTGTTAGACGCGGAGATAGATGCTCTTGGTCATAAAAATTCACGTAATATTCTTCCACAGTAATTCGTTTTTTACAGATTGCAATAATATCACTTTGCAATTGCCAAAATCCAGAGAAACATTGAATTATTCGTGAAAATCAATAGCTGGAAGGAAGATGAACCAACATCCAGCTTTGCGAGGCAAATAAAACTGTTTCATCTCCTTTACTAGAAGATTATTGAATTCAATAAAACAACACTTAAGGAACACGTTATGATGGTTTTACACTTGATTTCACTATAAATCCAGACTCTTAAAAATTATGCACTCGAAAGTTTTTGTTTTTTGTAATTTTGGTCTTCACAATTTCTTCCAATTCAAGACAAAGGTGGAGTGAGTGCGAATACTTACAATTTACTCATTCATTTCATCCTCGAACTGAAGATGGAAAGAAAAAAAACGGGTTCAATTAATTAGTTATATATATCTGCATCAGTGGAAGTAAAGAAACATTAAAAAATCGTTGTTTATTGATTGCGAGATACAGTGTATGTGCAAGAAGAAATTTTTGGCAAACACGGTGACAGCTCAGTTTTTACGTGTCAAAAAAGAAAATTAACGTACAGTCTGTATATCAGATAGAAAAACATACATAAGAAAGATGAACTAAAACAAAGATGGTTTGTTTTAAAAAGCTTATTACGACAAAACTGTGATTGCCTACTGCGTTCAATTCTGCATTTTGGTTTTTTTTCCCCTTAAAACACAATTGCTTGAATATTTTTAACACATATTTTTATTTGAACTTTTCTCTCACTTTGAAGTATACACAAATAAAACTGCACCATATACATGTACATATACAACCATACTGCACGAGCAACATATGTTGAAAATATGAAAGTTTATAGGATTTTTAAAATTCGTCATTTGCCGATTGTCAAATTTCACATTTTAAACAAGTTGGGATTTATTCATACATAAGACATAAACTAAAAAGAAATGTTCAAGAATTAAAGTTCAACATGTGTGTTGCTTGTGATTTATAGTAAACATACATTTTTCCAGTGTTTTTTTTTTTCTCGTGAAAATGTGTAATTTACGTCTGACTCGTACGTTAAACAAAGGTCGCCGTTTTACCTGTGTATGCTGCACTTTTTTGGTTGTCGTAATATCGCTTTGTGAAACAGACCAAAGATTTATTATAAAATAGATTTCAAAGTATTCCAAGAACAATGTGTCGAAAAACAGTTTATCTCTTTTCTTTTAATTAAACTCTCTCTCTTTTTTTTTTTAGTTGTTCTGATGTACAGTTGTAATCTTATGTGATCTTTGTTGACAAAATATACAAGGCGAATACTTTGAAATTACAAAATTTTCAGAAAGACACACAGAGAGAGTTGTAATAGTTACAAACCGATAATTCAAATAATCAACACAATGTAGCAGATTTCGTTGTGATGTGAAAATTGTTCTACACAGGCAGAGTGCGGTGAAATCATTCTCAAACAGCTGTATGTATACGCCCTAGGTAAAACAAATCAGAGAGTAATTTTTACATATGTAAAAATCAACTTTTGATACTCAAGAAATCTACAGAGTACTATCTGCAATGTAAGAGCGTGGAAAAGTCATTCCTTAATCTATCTCACTGCAAACTCAAGCAAAATTGTATAACTTCAAACAGTGATAGTGATTTTCGCAACACTCAAAATGAATGATTAAAGAATAAAAATACATTCTCAAATATTATGAACTATTTTAAGGAAGATTTAACTGGGTAAAATCAACAGGAGTAAAATATTTCAAGAGAAAAAGAAAGAAAATCACTCCGCCTACAATTATAACACTGTAAAATCACACCTCTGTACATACGATTTTATAAGGCTCATCCTAAAACAATAAATATCGGTGGGGTATCTTGTTGTACAATTAAACTTTCACACAGTTCGGGATTAAGTAAAAAGGTGAACCACCAAAATCTGTACTTTTTCTTAGCTAACATAAATAGCTCATGTTGAGTGAAACTATCTCCCTTAAGATTTGAAAAATGATTCCAAATCTGTTTTAGAAAATATCTAAACTATATCAATAACAACTAAACCTTGATATTAATTAAAATCTATCGATTCTTTTTTGGTTTCTCCTGAAAGTTTTCGACAGAGTCTGAATTAAGCTTTTCATATTTGGCAACCAAGTGGTCTGAATTTGGCATGTTAATCAGCCGGATAAAGATCACGACTATGGTGTTGTCAAAATCAAATTCCCAAGCTGTCACAAATATTATAACTCGTCCAATCATATCCATCTAACTGATGGATTTTTGTTTAAAATAATGGTCATCTAATAGAAATAACCATCCTACAAACTCCTCAATAGCTATCGTAATCAAATATGGAGCAGAATCAAAATGTTAATGATGATGATAGATCTCGACCTACCTCAATATAATTATCAAGGGGCGGGTAAGTTTAACCAAATATCGCCAGTAGGGACCTCGTTAGGCCGCTGTTATTGACAATAAGTATATTAACGTATTATGAAGAATGACATCAATTCGATACTGTAATGGACCAATATAATTACGTGAGTGAAAATTAAGTGTAAAAGTGTTCTTCTACAACTACATGTGTGAAAGAAATTTTTTAACAAAAATGAATAGAAAGTTCTGAAAAAAAAACAAGTCGTTAGAATTATTGTATCCCAGATAGTGTGGGCATCATAAGTTCGAGGGTAATGCCTTGGCTCTTAACATGAACTGATAAAGTAAGCCTTTGTATTGCTCTCCTAAATGAGAACAAATTTAATGAAGTTTAACATTCATTTTCAAAAAATATTTATAATTATTATACTTTATGAAGAAAATAAAATCAGAATTTACCTCGTCCTGTTTTGTGGGCATAAAACTTGTTGAAGTTTTCTGTGATAATCGGCACTGGTATCGCCAGAGTCAAAACCCCGGTCAAGGCAGCAATACATCCTATGATCTTTCCCAGAATTCCTACAGGATATTTATCCCCATATCCCACCGTTGTCATTGTGATCACAGCCCACCAAAAGGCATCCGGAATAGAAGTAATTTGTGACTCGGGGTGACTTTGCTCCGCAAAGTAGATAGCACTGGAGAATAGCAAAATACACACGACAATGGCCACCAAAAATAATAAAAGGCCTTCGATACTAGCTTTGAAGGTTAATATCAAAACTTGTAAACCCGCAGAATGTTTTGTCAGTTTGAAGATTCGAACCAATCTGATCACTCTTAAAAAGGCAAGGGAAGTTCCCGCTGAATCGCTGTCACAACCACTTGGGGAGAGAAGGTTTGACAGCGTGACATAGTAGGGGATAACAGCTGTAATGTCTACTAAGTTTTGGAAATCTTTAAAATATTTGATTTTATTCGGGCACGAGAAAAGGCGAATAAATACTTCGTAGGTAAACCATGCTGTGCAAATCGTCTCCAGTATAAAGTAAGGATCGGCGAAATTAGGTTTCCCGTCAATGCAGTCGTGACTTGATAATGACGGCACAGTTTCCACACAGAATAGAATAATTGAAAGCACGGTCACAACAACGGAAACGATGGCGATGACGTAGGCAGCAAATGACGTCTCAGGATATTCCATTAGCAACCAAATCTTGCGTTTACAAGGATTTTCTGGCAATTCCATTTTTTCAGACACATAACCTTCCTCCTTTTTGTATATCTCGATTTTTTCCTTTTCTATTTGGTAAAAATCTAACTCCCTGAGAAAAATATCATCGGGTACTGGCTCCGGGCGTCGAATTTTTCCGCCATATTGATAATAGTTGAAGATAGATTCAAACGTAGGTCTATGACGATCAAAGAAATATTCACCTCTATCCTTGTCGAAAAATCGTATCCGTTTCCGAGGATTTCCTAATAGAGTTGTCGGGTGTTTATTAAGAATGGAGGCCCATATTTCATAATACTGCCCACTGACGTTGATAGTAACCCTTTCACAAGTTTGCAATGAACAGCTATGGGGAGAGGACCCGTCCACACAGCATGTCACCAAATCTTCTAAGGCCAACTCATTGTCAGATCCATCGCTGTCTCGAAATTTCCTGCTGGAATCAGGTGACTGGAAGAGCCACAATTCCCCGTCGTTTTCGTTCAGGCGGTCTGGGCGACTTACAGGTCTCCTGTACCGAGACTGATTGTTCATAATAGATACTACCGCCATTTTTGTAACTTGCTCTCTGCTTTTCCATGCAGAAAATACACTTAGTGAAAAATTAGTGAGTCGGCATTACTGTTATAGGTTCATTCTCGAATTACTAAGCGTTTTGAATATTTTACTCACATCATCAAATAATTGATTTTTGGTTATGGTTTGCCAAGTATATGGTTTAGCGGAGTTTAAGACTTATCATTAGAGACCGGCTAGCAAGATCGTATGAATGGTTATGTAGAATAATACCACTGAATTTCATTTAGTGAAAAAAAAAATCATTAAAGCACTTTTCAAATCAAAAATCATTCAGTCGTTTGCTTTTAACAAAATTACCTTCACGTGAATATTTCGTACTGAGCATCTTTAATAAATTGACATCCAGCATACATTTAATTTTCCCATTCACTCAATATCCATTAAATTTGTGATTAAGAAAAGTCTTCACTCAAATGATGCAACAGCAAGAATTTCCCACTCCGTTAACTCCAAGAACTTGTCTAGGAGGACTATAAGCGTCCTTTGACAGAAGCAAGTGAATCGCTGACTATACCGATCGATTAGCTGTCCGATAAGCACTCTTCTGTGCTGTACCGATTCTAAAATAAATCCGCTGTAAATTTCGGAACGTCGATCCCTAGGTAAAACACTCGTATAAAAAGAAAATTAGGTAACAATGCTTGAAGGACTTTTTTCTATTCATCGGTGTTAAATGAACTGATCTATAGGCCAAAGGGTAGAGAAGATAGACACTGGAGGTCGCCTCTCCGGTACATGCACTTCATCAAGAAAAAGATATCAGGTGGGTCCTACACGAAAACTAAGTAACTGCAGTTTAACAACTTTATGGCATTTCGATCTAAAGGCAATGCCATGACCTGGTTATCAATAGTTTATCAATATTTAATCAGGAAGGAGTAGAAGAGCTTGTGATAGACCAAGCGTAGCGGCTTGTGTAAGGATATACGTGGCTAACACTCATACACAATAGTTACTAGTATCACAGAACACGGTGAAGGTGGGATAATACACAATTTATGAAGGACATGAATGACTCGCCGTAAAATCAATAAGTAAATATTTGATCAGTTTATAAGGAGACTGTATTAAGTTCGTTTTTACCGAATGCCCGATTTTTCTTTCGCGCCGAGTAAAAATAACAGTACTCTATTATAACACATAGGAAACTTTGAAGTAATTGTAACTATATACGTTGTATGCAATGTGTATAATATAATACTATGAGAGAGAGAGAGAGAGAGAGAGAGAGAGAGAGAGAGAGAGACGTAATTCTGCAGAGTATCCATATAAATTCTGCAGAGTGAACATTTAAATTCTGCAGAATTATGAATAAATAAATTGATCATATTTTTTAATTCAATCATTCAAACAGTTAAAGCACATGTAAATGTGTCATAAAAAGAATTGATTTATAATCAGTCTAATGTACAAGAAATCCTAAATGTAAATAGTTAAAGCTTGTATGCTAAATTCATGGGAAAAAGGGGGGTAGTGATTCATTTAATAAATCATTGAAAATCAGATAAATCAATATTTTGCTTTACTATCAGGGCATCATTTCGACAACAGGGGAATTATCTCGATACACTAGAACTGAAATCTATCTCCACGAAAAAGATTGGAATGATAAAGCGATTATTATAACAAACGGTTTATTTTGTTTGAACCAATTTAGAACATTAAATATTAATCAATACACTACGATTACAATTACTTGCACTATTAATCAAAATTAATATTTACAATCTTTGAAAGATGGAATGAACTTTTTACTTTTACTCTCTTTATCGAAATGTCTGTCATTGTCGAGTCGAATATATATATATATATATATATATATATATATATATATATATATATATATATATATATATATATATATATATATATATATATATATATATATATATTTCAGAAATAATATGAAGAAGCTTTGGCTTAAAAAAAAAACTGTAAGAAGTGCGAAGCCATCACTACTTATCGTATTTTTGTTTAAATCCACAAAGAAACTGTGTGGTGCGGAGGTTTTGCCGCCTCTCCCAGCCCTCGCAAACCCTGTTACATTCTCATATAACTCTCTCACTTTGAAAAACGCGGGTACAGGCTATAATAGCAATGCCATATTCTGAGACAATTGAGATAAAAAATTTTCTCATTTATATGTTCTCCCAACAAAGTCTTCCATTCTTCTCCTGTACTTTTTGGGCCCAAAATCGTCCTCAGTAAATACTGAAGGAGAGGGATCTTACTAGGTCAATGTGCAGCAGGAATGTGAATTTGGTCGCATGTTCATGAAAGATTGCGAAAAAAAAGATTTAACTTTATAGTTCAAATGTACATGTACCTAAAATTTTCATGTTGTTTGAATAAGAAGCTTTGAAACTTGAAATTAGCTTTGAATTATATTTGGATGTTGGTGGTCGTATGACAGCACACGGTCTTGCCAACAAATAATTCAATAAGTCGGTACGGCTAGATGCTGTTATGCGATCGACGACATTCCAAAACAAGAGCCCATGGGCCTTAATGGTCACTGAGTATAACACTGTAAAGGATACATAGAAGTAAAGATAAAGATAAACTGATAGAAGCTATGTTACCCAACAGCAAGAGAAATAAGATGATCAAGGATAAACAAAATAGTTACATGTAGTTTAGTATTCATTAGAAGTGGTAACAATATCCTATTTGTCACTATCATGCAGACTATATACAAATTAAATAATGCTTGAGTTCATACAGTAAACTCATCACATTCTCTTTCAGATTGGCCTCTCTTGGTCGTTGAAGAACATTTAATGTACAAATATAATGTATTTATTTCTTCTATTTATTTATTCATTATTTACAAGTCTATCTAGCTTTCTATTGAAAACTATGGCAGTACTTTTTGTAATATACATGTACATAAAAAAATTATTGTGCAATTCTTTTATTCAAGTGACCTATCAATTACATTTAAGTGATTAATAATTATATGTGAATAGCAGAGAATAACTTCTCTCAGTAGCATACAAATTTACTTAAAAAATGAAAAGAGACCTGTCCAGCACCAAAACACGTGACCCCATGGTCCGAAAATTCACAAATTGGTTAAAAAAAAAACCCAAACACCCTCACTAATTACAACTTTGTACATGTACTCTGTTTCCTCAAAGTTGCCTAGAAGCAAAGAATATTAAGAAGCTCTTCAAAGAATTAATACATTTTTATGATATAAACAAAAGAGCTCCACCCTAACACCAAAAACTCTAATATAGGGGCCGAAAATTTCACAATTTTGAAAAAGGGACCATTATAACTATTCACTTACTCTGTCTGCTAAGTATACATGGGGAGAGAAAAGGATTTTCGAAGAATTTAAACATTTTTACTTAATGATCAATAGAGCCACGCCCTAACATCAGAACCCCTGTCCCACGGCATGTTTCACAATTTGGAAGAGGCACCATAGCTTATTATAACCATGCACTTTGTTTATCTGTTAAAAACCTAGAGCCCCGCCCCAAAACCAAAACCCCTCCTGGGACCACGAATTTCCAATTTTGGAAGAGGCATCCTTGCCATTCAGAAATCATAGACTTAGTTTATCTGCTTAAATTAATACCCAAGAGCAGAGAAGATTTTCAAAGAAATAAATGCTTTTTCACTAAATATTCCATAGAGCCCCACCCTAGCACCAGGACCCCTGATCCTGGGGCCATGAATTTCACAATTCTGGAAGAGGCACTCTTGTTCATTTAATCCATGCACCTAGTACCTTTACTAAATACACAGGAGCAGAGAATAATATTTTCAAAGAAAAAAAAAGCATTTTCACTATATGATCAATAGAGTTCCACCCTACCACCAACACCCCCGACCCAGGGGCTATGAATTTCACAATTTTGGAGGAGATAGCCTTTGTTACCATAGCCATGAAACTAATTTGTCTGCTTAATACCCAGGACCCGAGAAGTTTTTGAAATAATTTGATATTCATTTCACTCTACCATCAACAGAGCCCCACCCTTACACCAAAAACATTGACCCAGGGGCCATGAAATTCAAAATTTAAAAAAAAGTTTCCCTGCTCATCACAACAATGCAATTAGTTTCCTAAATACCCAGAGGCCATGAAATTCATAATTTTGGAAATATTCTTGCTCATCATAACCATGCACTTAATTTATCTGCTTTAAACCAAGGAGCAGAGAAAAAGATTTCCAAAGAATCAATGCATTTTCACTCTTTGATCAATAGAGCCCGCTCTAACAAAAAATACTATAAGTTTTTGCAATAGTAAACAAAACTATTTACATTGGCAAGGTTCCTGGTTATCGTATAGAGTTTTCCAAGAACTCTTGAGTAGGTTTAATTGTGCTAAACAGGCTATATTCTAGATTGTTTAACCTACCAAGCCAACCTTCATTTTTAGAATTTGTCAAATCAGTGTTTTTGGAATTCTCAATGCATTTCCTATGTAAAATGTTAATAAAAGGGACCTACATAATTTTTCACCATAATATTTCTCCAAAACCCACTTATTTCATATAGCTTTTGTATTATATATATTATTGTATCTTCATTTCCTATGATTTCTAGATATTTTGACTGAAAATGTATATATATAAACAAGACAAGGACATACCAGCACCGATCTTTATTTTTGAGTTACTTCCCTTAACAGCTATAATAATGGTCAAGAGAGTCAGACTGGTTGATTGATTCTATCATGTTATTGACTGAATTGATAGAAATACATTGTCATAAAACTATTGGCATGGATTTATTTCAATTTTTATTCGTAGTTACTAAATGCTGCTTCCTTCATACAACCTAGGAACTAATCTCAGTCGGTCTACCTTTCAGCATATGTCACATCTTTGCCCTTCCCAGCATACTGAGCATAACTATGGTAAATGACGACCTGTTGGCTCTTTGTCCCCTGAATACAATGTTAAACAAATCCATTACTACTTTGCTTTCTTGCTATATAGATAATTCTACCCATTGAAGGAAGTATTAGTACGTGTGCTTTTGTTTACCTCTGTAAACACGCTTTATTGGTTTTCATCGCTTAGAGAATTCTACACGGGAGGTCACTCTCAATCACTATTTCATAAGTGAAAAAAAAACCATGTATTAAACCTTTTTTTCTCCGGAAAACCTTGACTTGCCAATGTCCTTAATCAAAGTGTTTTTACTAGATGGTTTTCAGATTGTTATATTTATGTTCTTCAATTCATACTTACACATTTTTGACATTAAATGGAAATATATTACTGGTGTATTCACATATTATTTCCAAATTTAACTCATTGGTATTGAATTTAAAAGATTTTAAGAATCAGAATCTCGAAAACAGTTCTAAAGTGAAGTTTCATAGCAAATCAAAGTATCATAGTATTTACTATAGTTATCTATAGAAATTTTTGTTAGGGCGCCCTAACACCAAAACCCCTGACCCAGGGGCCAAGATATTCATAATTTTGGAAGAGGTGTCCTTGCTCATCAGAACCATGCAATTAGTTTGTCTGCTAAAAACCCCGGGACAGAGACGAAGTTTTTAAAAGAAATCAATATGCCTTTCACTATATGATTAATATATCATCCCCATCCTAACACCAAAACCCCTGACCCAGGGGCCATGGATTTCACAATTTTGAAAGAGGCGCCCTTGCTCATCATAACCATGCACATAATTTATCTGCTTAATACCCAGGAGCAGAGAAAAAGATTTTCAGAGAAATAATACATTTTTACTATATGATCAATAGAGGCCAACCTAACACCAGAACCCCTGATCCCATGAATTTCATAATTTTGGTAGAGGGCTCGATGTTTATTACAATCATGCTAACAATTTGACTCTTTGATGTCCAGAAGAAAAGAAGTAGATTTTTAAAGATTGTATTAACTTTGATGGTTTAGTCTCATACCTCAGACCCCAGGGGGGCAAGGATCATAAAATTCACAATTTTTGTTCTCCTTTACCCATAGATGCTGTATGCTAAAATTGGCTGAAATTCGTTCAGAAGTTCCAGAGCAGAAGCTGAAAATGTTCAAATGTTTACCCACGACGCACGACGACAGACGATAACAGCAGTAGGTCACCTGAGTGATTCAGGTGACCTATCATCAACCAGTGAAAATTTACGTTTTCTAATAATGTTATTTTTTTCGTCATCATTAAGCTTTCAGAACAAGGGAGGGGTAAGGGCCTCTATACACAGTAAGATTTCTATTATAAATACAAATATTATAGAAGTACTTTCCTGTTTACACGCTTATACAAGATTTTAAATAAACGTAAACAAATGTGCTGTTTCAATTTCTCACAAGAACAATTTCAACAGTCTGTACTACTCTTTTTGGTAATCTATTTATTTCTTTATATTTCTCTACTATGCATAATAGTAAAATTCGCATTGATCTGAGTCGCTTAAATAAAAGAAAGAAGTTAATGCCATCTTATGATATACTTTAATTTGTAATGGTAGATACTGTGTATATCTAAGTTGTTTACTAGCATTTTTTTAATCAAAGTAATAGGTATTATAAATAAAAATAGGATAATACATTACCCTGTCGTATAAACAGTCATCTGATTGGTTGGGATAAAAGGTCAGCCACGATTTGTAGAAATATAACATTGCTCTATTCTTAATACAATTTTAAAAGATTCGAAAAATCTTATGATACACTGTATTAACAGTGTACACACGAGGAGATTTTGTATTATAGTACAGGTATTGTAGTACTGATCCTACCGTGTTTACCTGCCTTAATAGATGGAAGAACCAAGATTTAGCTGCTTTGTTCTTAGTTCTGATGTGCTGTTACAACAAAAATTTCGTTTCATAACGAATTCCGTAAAATTTAAAATATAGATATATATATAGTGCCTCATAATGAAAATTATATCATTATGAGGTACTATAAAGTGTTGAAAAAGCACGCAAACAAATGGAGCTGAAATACACGTATATGATGTATTAAAGTTAAAATGGCTACAACTTTCTTATTTTTTCAATGAAACAAGGGAAGACTTGGAATCAAAATATATTTCATGATATCTTACATGTATAATGTACGTTATGACATCATGAAACGATAAGTCAAGAAGGTGCATACATGAATAGACGAACTGCTTAAATATCTGCAAATTCTTAAGGTCTCAATTAAATGAACTTAAATTTAGAAAAATACATTAATTAACTTTTCATGCATCGTCGGAAATCCACGGTCTCTGTTTCGTTCCTCTCTCCAGCACCGGGTGAAAAATAGTGGAACGAAAAGATTCCAGTCGTGGGTTTACGACAATGGTGTCCAGAAAGTAGGCATTCGTTCACAAATAATGGCCGCATATGTTTGTACATTTGAGGAAGAATAAGTAGTTAATATGGGTTTTATCGTTTTTCTTGAAGAAAGACTTTGAAATGTGAACTTCAAGTATGTTTCAGTAGCAATCCCTGGTACACTTAAATGAAAAGTCATTAATTAAGAACTATTTGGATGTAGGGGAGCCATTTGGGGAATGTGGGTAGCAGTTTCTACATGCACTTGAAATAAAATGTAATGAAATCATCCCTTGACCACGAATTTTTTCTGGAACAAATAATAATGTGAATTGTCGATGAGACAGTTCCTACAAAAGAGTTTCCTTCATAGTTTAATTCGATATATAGAAAGCTTTATGTACTCACAATTACAATCGAAATGAAAAATCATTATTCATGAATGAGAGTCTGTTCTTCGCTTTAACATATCGTAAAGAGAGAAAGTCAGAACATGTTTCCTTGAGTGATTGGCGAAAAAGTTAATATTTTATAGGGCACAGAAGCTCGAGTAGTTAAATGGGTACCACCTTGCTTAATCAATTGAGAAAAAAGCGTGTTAAAGTAGGGAAGTTAGATGCTAAGAACAGACGTTTTCCTCTTATAATTGGATAGATATTGATTGAAAATGTATAGAAGAGGGTGAAGAGACATTAAATTAGGGACAGAGTTTTAAAGGTCATTGTTCTTGAGGAGAGGGAATTTAGCTTAGAAAACCTTGGTCAGGATAGCATATTTCAATTCTTTTAAGTAGATTGACAGATTCGCTACCGGTTGCGTGTTCAGATAAAGTCCAAAAAATGTGATTGCTAAACTTCTTGACCGCCCTAACTCAGGCCAGTAGGAAAATGTTTCATTTTTCTTGGGGGGGGGGGGGAGGGGGAGACATAACATAAATTGTTGACAAGAAAAAAAGGGCATCATAGTTACAAACTTAGGTATCTCGAATAAAGTTATCTCGAATACCGTGGACATTTCAAAGAAACATTTTCCAAATGTACATTTTTTAACCTCGATATCTCGAATCCTCGATCGGATATCACGAAGGTTTTCTCGGAACCAATCGAACTCGTGTTAACGAGGTTTTATTGTATTTGAAGGGACACAACCGTAAATTACTTTGTTTTCTTAAGTGACGGGAACAAAAGCCTTGTTTTCTAAGGTAAAGTATTTACAGAAAAAATAATTGGGGGAGGCACCCCATGGAACTTAAGAGCCTTGTATACGTACTTTGACTGAAAATTTCAATTTTGTATTTTGTAAAATCTGCTCTTTTGTATATCAATCCTCAATATTACTGAAAAATTCTACATAAGATGTCGAAGGCTGAGTTCATGCGTACATGTTTATCTTTCATTCCTTTATTGTTGGAAACCCACGGAAATATATTTTTCCTGCTTAATTACAAATTCTAATCAACAAAAATTATACAGTCTCAGACGCTTACTGAAATAATAAAAAAGCACGACACATTTGCTGCACTTTGAAATTGATTAAAATAGCGATGGACACTACATCATTTATTCAAATTACAGGTTTATCATGTAACATTTTACACAGACTAGCAAAACCACTGATTCATGAAACGAGAGAAGAGGGAAATGAACTCCTTTTTCTTTATTCCTTTGAGTGAATTTGTGTCAAGTGATTCCTCAATTAATGACTTTCGTGCACGCGAAGCTCTTGAATAACAAAGATAAACGGATGAACAAGCGCGTGTATGATCGGTGACATGTTGAATGGTCTGTCTAAAAGTATGATATCCAGTAACAAATAGGACGTGAGTTACATATTTTCTGATTCAGAAGATGCATGTCTTTCTATTCTTGAAAAAGGTCCCAAGGGAACAGTTATAGTTTATAAAATCCATATCAACACACAGACCTCCTACAATATTTCTTGCACGGAAACAAGAACTTACTTTTTCTGTATAATTATACTATACATTTACAGGCAATGTGTCTTTTGCTTTATTTTGACACATCTTGCGCTGGCTTTCATGTTTGCGATAATTGATTAGATACAGCTGATCCCGTCTACAGTGTGATAAAACGTCATATCGGTCCAATATGTCATCGACAGGTCCAATATCTCACTTAACTGTCCAACATCGATTTTTTTTGGACCGCTCAGTAAAACAAGGAAATGTTAGATTTTTCTAGAGGAAACAATTTTTAAAGGTATAACAAAACCTGTTTGTTGGATTCTAATGAGTAATTTTTCATCTCCGAGGGAGGGGTTTAAATTTATGACAGAGCTAATGTCTCAAATGAAAATATTTACTTTTACCTGGCTTCTTTTTGATTCCAGAAGTGAATAGTTTTACTCCACTTAAAAGTATGTCCAGTGCATAAATAAATGCATATTCACCAATAATGATATCAGTGACCAGACCAATGTTAGATGAAGAAAGAATTTGTCTGGCTGATAAAGAAATGGGGAGGCATGATACAAAGATCGCTCATGAACCAAAGGTTATATACCAGCAATGTTCTAGCTCATTTGATGATGTTGGTGAAGGCGAAGTATAAATTTCTTTCTAAGGTAATATCTTCGTCTATAAGTAAGACAGAGAAATACTCAAAGTTATTTATTCATGAAAAAAAATATCATTTTAGTTTGAGCCATAAATTTGTGGCCACGGCCTATGTCTTATACAAGTATGTATTTCACCAATGACACTGAACTGACGTTCACTTCAAGGCCTATGGACCAAACCATGTATGCTTTACCCATAATGAACACAGACAAGCAGCTCATATCACATGAACCCCTGGCTAAAATTGTAAATTCATTTGTTTCTGGATCAAAGGTTCAGGCCCCATGGTGGGGTAAAATTAACTTTGAATATCTCTAAATCTCCTTCTCTGCCCCTGGGATTCTAATAAATAAGCAATACATGTAAGTTTGATAATGAAAAAGAGCTATATATGGAACTGTTATCAAAGTACGAAATTCATATCTCTGGGTCTAGGATTCATGATATCCTTTATATATATTATAATTATATATTTATATATATTGAAAATACATCAATTTTCTTGACATTTGAAATTCATGACCTTTTCGGTACAGTTTTTACATCATAGCTTGGAGTTTATATTGGAAGTCCCTTTAGATCTACATTTATGTAAACTTTCATTCTTACTCCTTGACATTTAGCAGACAACTTGTTTTTGCAGGAAAAAAGATGTATACATTTATTTACATTCGTCTTGTTTTGTTTTGTTTTCTTTTCGTTTCTTATATATTCTTTTATTTTCGTTTCGATTCTTTTCTTTTGGTAGTTACAGGCACATTTACCCATATACGGTATAGGATGCGGCCTCATCTGAAGAAAATCTACTTTTTTCTGAAAACTTTTGTTTTTTTTTCTATAAGGCTCTCTATAATCTCTGTTTCCTTTTTTCTTATACATGAAATATACTCATCAGCAATATCATCCAAGTCCAGAGGAGACACCAACATTAGCTTTACTAAACACGAACGTTGATTTATACTCTACAAACAGTAAGTGAATGATTTTGCACCGTGCAGGAAAATTTAGCAGCACATTTTCTGCATTGCCTGCACGATTAATAATTTACATCATAAACCATAATGAGATATGTTTATCTTCTTAGGATGTAAAGACTTATACCATAAAAGAAGAGCGGGAGATAATATATCGCCCAAGAGCAATTGGACAGCCCGTGTTTTCTAGAAATCAATGAAAGAAGCCAATTTTCTCCTAAAGAACAAACAGTGACCATAAGAGGGTCGAATTAATATGTAGGTGGTACTGCATGAAAAATTACTTCTGTCTGAAGCGGATTGATTTTTGACGGTAGGGAATTCTGGTTAATATCTTGTAATGTTGCTGGGAAATGAATTACATATATATCATGTATATGTGAGTATAACACAAAGCTATTCTGTTTGATAATAAAGCATTACTAATTGATTCTTTTAAGAGAGAATCAATTTTCAAAGGTTACTCTATAGTAATGATAGTCATCTTTTAGTTCTTTCATATCTGTGTCAAGTTCAGATCCTGGGTGCAATACATTCTAGAAATTAACCAATATATTAAAGTAGAACTGCTGATTCATTGCTGTGCATCATGCAATCATTCTAAATTGAATTTTGGAATAAAATATGCAATTGTTCAGTATTGAAAGAAGATCAAGGTGGGAAGAGGTTACACATCAGAGGCATTTTTGTCTCATGCTGAAATTCATGGAGGCTGTTTAGTAAGATTTTGTCAGAATGGTCCGTCTCTCCGTGTTATATACTAGTAAATATTTACATTCGCTGAATATTATCTCCTATTTTTCTTAAGAAAACCGTTGTCGTTTATCAACCAGTAAACACCGCTAAGCATATCAATAATACACTATTTCATCTACTTTAAATGATTATTTGTACAGATATAAATACAAAAAATTAAATGTCTTTATTTGTTTGTTAGTACGGGAGTTTGCAGCTATTGCAGGAAAAAAAATAATCGGCATAAGCGGGTTATGCAATTTTTCTGTAACAGCTGCAACATTAATTCCCGTACTAACAACCAAAGAAAGCATGCATGTTATTGTTTACATAAAAGACTTACAAGTCTCCTTGAAAATAACAAGGATAATGTGGGGTTATAATAAACAGAATAAGATTTATATTTTGAATTTGATTTAGTAGAAATTTACATTATGAAGCGTAATTTTGTATATGTGAAATATATTTAGGGATATAGTTTCAAAACAATTGCAACACTTTCTTTTCATATGCATTATTCCAGGGAAAACCTTCAAGAATGAATCTAAGAGATTCCGTTAACTTTGTAATCTTTCTAATACACAGCACCAACAGTTCAAATATTTGGAAAGGTCTTCTAAGAGGTAATGCACATGATGAATATGAATGCCATATCTTCTCTCCTTCAAAAGTTAGCAGCAATGATAACATTTTTGAAAAGTAGGTCTAACTTGAAGGTCAAGGTTACAGGGTATAATATTAAACATCATTCGGAAACTTCTTGTCACAGGTGATGCACTTGTCAATGATGAACGTCCTTTCTTCTGACATTCAAAAATTATCAAATATACCATGAATTTTGACCCCTTGACTTTGACCTTAAAGTTTGACCTACTTTTCTAAAATTTTAACATTGGTTTTAACTTTTGAAGGAGAGAAGATAAGGCTTTCATATTTGACATGTGCATTACCTGTGACAAGATTTCCAAATGTATTATGATTTTTAACCCCAAGACATTGACTTTGAAGTTTGACACATGATTTAAAAATTTTAAAATTGCTGATAACTTTTGATTGAGAGAAGATAGGGCATCTACATCTGACATTTGCGCCTTACCTGTTTCAAGACCTTTCCGAATGTACTCTGGTCTTTGGTCTCGTGAGCTTGAACTTTAACCTAGTCTTTTTATTTAGTCTTTGTTTTTTTTAATTTTTACATAGGTAATAACTTTTGAATGAGACAAGATAGAACTTTCCTATTTTTATACATGTACATTACCTATGACAACATATTCCAGAAAAATATTTCATTTTTGACTTCCTGACCTTGACCTAGAATTTTGATCTATTTATCAAAAATTTAAACTTTGGCCCTAATTTTTCTCCGGAAGACATAAGGCTTTCACATTTTTCTTTCATTTCATTTTAAGCGTTTCTTGTGACAAGATCTTTTGGATTGCATTATGATATTTGACCTCATGACCTTGATCTTGAAGTTTGATGCAGTGTAGAGAAGCTTTAATCTTTGTCATAACTGTTATTAATTCAATATTAACTTACGTCTTTTTTTATGATGCACAGACAAGGTTCGTACGCAATGGTATGACCACGTGGCACAACCTCAAAATACGATGTTGTATTTCTACAGTGAGTCTATCGAAAACAGATGAATATTTGTCATCCAATTTTCACATAAGGTCACCCATGTGACGGGACACAATTGACAAATATACCTCATTTTGTCAATTTTCTGAGATCTTAGTTTTATTTCAAATTCTATAGAGAGTGTTAAAATGACCCCAGAAAGGGGTGATCTTTTCCCAGAAATTCATAATTATAGAGTTCCACTTTGGAAAACCTCGCATAGACTTTGAATTGTTTGATCAGCGTTGAGAAAGACAAAATGTGACGGTAAAAAGATTTAGAAAGAGGAAAGCTACATTCAAAGTCAAAAAGACTTAAAATTGTAGCTTGTGATGGTCCAAATTGTAATGAATAAATTAGCTCATAAAATCAAGAGAAAATGGAGACTTCTGTAAATGTCTCGGTTTTACAGCATAAGTTTCGCGTTATAACGCGATTTTTTTTTTACCAACGAAAATAAGCTCAATGGGCTTTCGTATACATTCCATTGCAGTTCATACGCAAGTCAAAAATCAAGTGGACCCTCTGGTGTGAAATGGAACAACTGTTTCTGATGTATATAAACATGATAAATTAAGCTCGCGTTTCGTGAATGTTGCAGGATTACCTCCGAGGTCGAGAAATGTTGTTTGAAATATATAAAAGCCGAGGCGGTAGCCTCAAGAACTTTATTTCTATTCTACTAACAGCTCTAAAATATGACTGATCGTTTCCTATTTAGAGAAGCAAATTAAGTCACCATGTTGCGACCTTTCTCGCCTCGGAGGTAATCCTTCAACATTTACGTAACGCGAGCTTAATTTATCATGTTTATATATGTCAGAAACAGTTGACTATTTTACATATAAGTGTAGGGGCGAGTAAATTCGTTAAGACTTTTTTAAAAATATGTATATCAGTTGAATTGTAGACTCGTTTGGATAAAGTGTGAGTTTATATAACGCTGTCGAACTGTTTTTAGTTAATTCGTGACACATTTGCCATCAATATTGATATTTTTTTCTGGTGAATGACGAAGCATATTCACCACCGAAAGAGTCCATGGTTGTTTTATTATATAGTCAGGGTTTGAATGAATAAGACATTAAAGGCTGCATGACGATATCATTTTCATTAACGAACTTGTCTTCTGTCGTAGAAAAATGAAAGATGTCCAGATTACAACTTATAACTACCGTGTTTTTCTTTGGCTGTGTAAAAGACATCGAAATGCTTGGAAGATAATCCTGCAATAGAATTGCTTACATGTATCATTTTTCCTGCCCGGAAACACAGCTAGCTCCTGCCGTTGTAACAATTCTTTTCGACGTTGTTGGAGGTATTGTGACGTCACAATACCGCTGTACGCGCACTGACCCTCCGGTGAAAACGGCTTCAAATCCAGTGAATATGTAGTATTATGAACTGTTTGCGTTTGTATAGATTATATAGGAACTATTCATAGACTTTATAATTATACTATATAGATGTTCTGATACGAAAGAACCAATCCCTACCACAAAGAATAATTTAGTTTGAAGTATGTGAAAAGATAAACACTCGGTAAACATAAACAGTTTCTTATCATAGAGTAATCTTTAGAATCATTACTTGAAATCAGCTCCATGTATACATTTTTAAGGTTATGCACAGATCATATCGTAATGAACATGTACAGACTGAATTGTACTCATTCTGAGAAAAAGGAAGTTTTCCGAGGAAAAGCCTGCTTTCAATGGGAGAATAAATATGTAGATAGTTACGCACATATCACCACAATATGTCACAGATTTGTAAAGGATCATAGACGTGAAATAACATCCGCTAAGTCATTTATTTTTTTAAATTAAGATCACGAACACTTGAGCACACTGACAAATCCTTTGGATTTTATGTGCATTGATTGCATGTAAAAGCCTTCACAAGGAGCGAAAATAAACATGAGGGGAAATTCAACAGGATCAAGAGAAAGGGGTAAATCTCTTTTTTTCCTCTCTCTCCCTCGCTCTCTCTCTCTCTCTCTCTCTCGTAAGAAGAAACGTTTACATCTATAAATTACATGGCTTCAGGCGTTTTTGAAGAAAGAAAAAAAACCCGTACAGAATAAGAGTCAAAGACAGCAAGACTTATATAAATTATGTCCTTTCTTCATCCGATTCTGTAATAAGTTGTAACAGCAGAGTGCAAACATTCAGTAAATTTTATTTATTTGTAGCCTTTTGAAGTCGGTTATTTCAATAAATTCCTTGCATAATTATCAAAGTATAATTAAAGAGAATTGGTTAAATTTCCGATTCAATAGTGAGGCGTAGAAGATCTAAATCTCCTTCTCCCAAAAGAACAACAATACCAGCAACATCAACAACACTGAGGACAGCATTTAAATCAACTGTCACAATTCCAGGAACAACAGCAGAAATCACGAGCAATAGTGCTATAACAAAAACAGCAGCCATTGTAACAAGGACAGCAACAACTCAAACAACATCAACACCAAATGATGACACAACAACGTGGAAAACAGTCAGAAATCTCACCACAGAATCCCGAACAGGTAGGTATAGTAGAATGTACAGAATAATTAGGTTGATCCTAAAATAATTGTGGTTGTTGATCATGGAATTTAATGTGGGGGCAAATACAAGATGTTTAGGGTGATCGTAGAATTTAATGAGGCGGAAGATACAGAATGTTTAGGGTGATCATAGAATTTAACGTGACGGTAGATACAGAATGTTTAAATGTATCATAGAATTTAATGTAGTGGAAGGTACAAATGTTTAAGTCGATCCTAGAATTTAATTTGGTGGCAGGTACAGAATGCCTGTTTAGATGGATCATACCTCGAATATGATGTGAAAAGTAGAGAGTGTATCGATGGATTGTAGAAATTAATGCAGTGGTAGGCACAGGATGCTTAGGTCGATCAAAGAATTAATGAAATGAGTAAAAGGTATTGAATGTTTACTTTAAAAGGGGGGTCATAGAATTCAGTGTAATGGTAGGTACGGAATGTTTCCTAACATTGGATCATAGAATGTAATGTAACTAAGGAACAGGATGTTTATGGTATGTGGATTATAAAATTTAATGTAAGTACAGTATGTTTACTGTATGTGGAGCATAAAATTCTATGTAAGTACAGAATGTTTACTGTATGTGGAGTATAAAATTTAATGTAAGTACAGTATGTTTACTGTATGTGGAGTATAAAATTTAATGTAAGTACAGAATAATTACTACCATTGGATCATAGAATGTAATGTAGCTAGGAAATATGATGTTGACGTTATGTGGATTATAAAATTTAATGTAAGTACAAAATGTTTACTGTATGTGGAGTATAAAATTTAATGTAAGTACAGAATGTTTACTGTATGTGGATTATAAATATTAATGTAAGTACAGAATGTTTACTGTATGTGGATTATAAAATTCAATGTAAGTACAGAATGTTTACTGTATGTGGATTATAAAATTTAATGTAAGTACAAAATGTTTACTGTATGTGGATTATAAAATTTAATGTAAGTACAAAATGTTTACTGTATGTGGATTATAAATATTAATGTAAGTACAGAATGTTTACTGTATGTGGATTATAAAATTCAATGTAAGTACAGAATGTTTACTGTATGTGGATTATAAAATTTAATGTAAGTACAAAATGTTTACTGTATGTGGATTATAAAATTTAATGTAAGTACACAATGTTTACTTATGTGGATCAGCGGTAAGTACAGAATATTTACTTTAATTAGAACTTAATGTAGTAGTAAGACTGGTAGGCACAAAATGTTTACTAGTTGGATCATTCTCTTTAATGTGGTGGAAGGGGATTGTGACTATCCATTTCCATGAACCAATAAAGCAAATAAAATTTTGACTACAAAAAGGAAGAAAAAAAAAAGATTTGTACAATTCTCTATCTAAACTGCAAGATGTTTGTTTCATTATAATCAAAAGTTAAACTGCTACAGTAACTGAAGACTGATTAAATTGTAAGGTAGGATCATGGCGACCTGCTTAAAAACAACTATCAATGCTATCTTACTGAGAAGTTTTTCTCTGTTATGGGTAATTGTATATTCTTCCTATCGTCGTCTTACCAAAGTAGTTCATTAAATAAAATGTTTTCTTTGTTTTATTTATTCCCTGTGATAACAAACAAAACATTCTATTGTGTGTATATATATATATATATATATATATATATATATATATATATATATATATATATATATATATATATATATATATATATATATATTAGACTGATTCAAAATATATTTTAAAATTAACTGAAAAATTAAAGACAGTTTGCAAAACATAACTCTGGAATACAAGTTAATAAAATACAAGTGAATAAAAGCACCGAATAAAATCAAGTCAATTATACATGAAACAATTGTAAGGACTTATTGCTTGGAACGTTATGTTTAAGAATGCATCGGGAAAAAGACAACTTTTTAAAAGATTTATGTGTAAATAAGGAATATAGGTGATGTATTTATCTTTTAAGCCATGATGAACAGAGTGGGACAACAAGACTCGACATGCCTACATGTTGTACTAATTCCTACACTTTTGGGTCTAGGAATCATCGTTACTCTTGTTTTTTGTTTGGTGTACAAAGCTAGAGTAAGAAATTATATGAGACACGTTTTAAATATGGTAAGTTAAAGGATTCATGCACAATTTGTTTTTTTTTAAGATATCGATGAAATAAATTAAACTGCACTATCAGATCATTACTACTACATGTACCATGCATGATTATCGCAATATCAAATTGTTGAATTTTGAAGAGGACTTAAATGTATCAATGGTGATCAGAACAAATTATTTGAAAGAAAATCTTAAACTCTTAAACTTATGCATTTATTAGAATAGTAATCAATGATTCTGATTATTCCATTAAACAATTTAGCATTGGAAAAACAAAACAGGAATTCCTAATTTTGCTACCTTAAATGAAGAAGAGGAGAAAAGTCAGAATCCTTACGATACTGCTGCATATTCTGTTGTTAAAAACCTTGTTTCACCACTTCCGGCGAACATGCCTAGTCAACAGGAAACAGTTCCGCAGGATGAATGCTACAGTGCGCTAGATAGACGAAATGAAAGATCTGAAACAAACACAATTACATGTAATAACAATAATTATGATTCGTTGAATCAATCAAATCAACCACCAATGATCAGTAACAACGTTTACAGCAGTATGGATCCAGCTTTCAGAGGTACAGAAGCAGTACTGTCAAATACATATGGTGTTTATCAATAATCTGGGAGCTGTTTTAAAGTTTGATTCCATAAATTTGCAGTGGTCGTGTCATCGAAGCTGATAGGTCAATATACCAGTTTCAAAATAAAACAAATAAAATGTTAAAACAGAAAGAGTGAAAAAAAAAACGAAAAACCACATAAATTGAAAAACAAACTCTTATCCCCGGATTTGTATTTAATATAGCATTTCATATTACGCATAAACTGGAAAAAGTTTAAACTTATATGCGATAAAATCTCTTTGTAAGCTCAGAGCTGTGTGGAGATTTTAGAAAGAGAAAGCATGAGTAAACAATTGATGGGAAATGTGGTCCTTTTTTAGTGTCCTTTGATGACAGTTACTCTGTATTTTCTTTGTGATATTTTTGCTAAAAATATACTACAATAACATCATTAAAGACTACTAACCCCTGAGACTGACTTTATAGAACTAAATATTATATAACTTGATTATATTTAGTTCTTGTTGTAAGACTGCAATAATATGCTAGTTTTGTTTGTTTGTTTGTATGTTGTTTAACGTCCTCTCTCGAGAATTTTTCACTCATATTGAGACGCCAATATGCTAGTAACAATTCAGTAAATTTGTCGCCCGCCATTCGTGTATATTATCACATGTTATATAAAGTTAATGTAATACCTGTATCAGTTGATGAACTGATCTAATCAGTCACTACTTATTCGGAGTTGAGTGTACATGTATACTGAGACCATATTTTCCAGTTTTCTAAGTATCGATGTATTCCCGGTAATATAATTACCACTTTCTTATCATTACACGTATTGTTTTGTTTGTGTAAAATCGCGGTTTTAGTGATCATGTTTCGAAAGATTTCTTTTGCAGAGCTATTAAGAGACCAGGAATTAAATCTTAATCATTTGATATTTAGTAACTGAAAACTCTGTTAGAATACAGAGTACAAAAATATTAGTACTAATATCAGATCTAAATTCAATCTATCAACTAGAACAATCATTCAAGATAACAATAATGCCGTCTCAAGGATTGCAATTACATACATAAAACTGCACATCTACCAGGAACTCTTGAAGCCTTAAAGATATTTAATATGCACAGCCATTATCGAGCTCGTTAATACTTTTTGCAAGAAAATTAAAACAAAAAAGGGATAATTTAAAAATAATTATTTCCATTTGAATTATGTTCTTCCATTTTTGTTTCCACTTGAAGTCTTCAAACTAAAGATACTATTGTATACAGAAATTAAAAGTAAATAAAGGATTTTAGACTCGTAAACAGACTGAACATAATTTATGGTCTGTTATTGGTTTTACCTAATTCTCTTGCCACGGAGCTCCTAGTATTACGAATATAGTAAGCGAAATAACCCAAGATCAAATGTAAAATTGAACGTTAAATAATACTTTTAAATCTGTAGAATGTCCAAGGTCATGTTTCATAAAACGCCTTTGAGGATGTCCAGAAATTAAATTTGATATGCATGTTCCTGATTCCAGTTCATTGGAGTTAGAATGTACATGTACTTCAAATCATAGCGTGGCGTGCTTAGTTCTTTGCTTGACTTTACATGTCTGTTCTATATATTCATTGCATATACCAAGAGTTACATGTGTAGTTGTCATGTTGTAAATTTTGTATTTACTGCCACTCGGTAAATTCAAAATTTACGACATGACATAGACCATAATATACAGATCAATATATAATATTTTTCATACTAAACATACTTTGTACAATTATTTATACTGACCTAATTATGAACAATAAAATGTTTTTCTTTGCTAATATATGAGTAAGGGTTGAAACTATTGCTTACGCGGGTGGGAATTTTTCTTAATACATGTAGAAAACATATGAAGGCTAATGCCCCAATCGAAGCAGACAAAATTAATAGTTTTTCATTTGCAAAATGTATACAAATTAATATAAATCATAGACATTTTCTTTTTTTCAAATACTTCTTTTAAAATAAAATAATGCGAATGTAATAAAATTATTATGCCCCCAGAAGTTCACTTAAATAATTGAAAAAAGCGTGATACCTCGCAATGACTAATTCTTAGGTCACATGCAACCGTGGATACATGTATACACGGTACGTTTACATCATATTAGTAATGGTCATCGGATGAGTCATTTCCAATACTTGTAAACGTTCAGAGACGTGTATTAAGTGTACTTGTTCGTAGATTAAATAATTGTAAACAATCTTCTGGACGTACAGAAATACAACTTGGAAATGAGAGGAGAATCAACGAATGATGAAAGTGGGCAGGAGAATGATGAAAGCGGCGGTACGTCTCTCTCTCTCTCTCTCTCTCTCTGCATTAAATTCATTATAAACTGAAAAAAAAATGCATTAACAGCATAGAAGACATTCTAGGGAACACTCTGAAGAAAATAAATGATATGATTTTATTTTAATTTGTCAATTGTGATCTTGCTATTTGTTGGTCAGTATTGTATCTATATTATATTGTTTGTTTAATATGGATATCGGTCCTGTAGGAACTGAAGGGAAGGGGACGGTCCCATAACAATAACTTCTGGGGACTTTGTTTTTGCTTGCCAAAGTTTTCTGTTAAGCTGTGCCCCGAAAACTGAAATGTTTTCCTACGGGCCAGCGTGTGGGTGCCTGAATTAGAAAGGGACTAGGCCTACTTTAAAATACAGAGAAGAGAGCATTCGAACACTGGTGGATAAAGATAATCAAACAGGCTAATGTTCAAATGGGAAATAAGCATTTCCATTTATTGTTTAATAGAATTATTTATCGTTGCAGGTAGATGTTCTAAAATCTTTGAATTTACTTTAAATATCTTTTCAAATGAACGGTAAGACTCTTCTGACTAAAGGACTAAAGACACTTATAGGCTTTATGCCACTGCTTTGTCAGTCATATTTTGAACAATGGGGTGGGGGTGGGGGGTTATGGGTCGAACAAAGAATGTGTATAGAAACCCTTTTTAAATCCACCTTTCATTTGTATTTTTTCTCTAATAAGAAATCTAAAATGATGTATGTTTGACCAATGAAATAAGAATTAATACACTATACGATGCATATTTGATCAAATTTCTGTTTTCTTTTTGAAAAAGACGAAGAAAGCAGAGTCAGCATTACAACAGAAAGGACAAACGTCACGAGGAAACCCGCCCCTATATCTACAGTATCTACATCAGGTAAGTATAAAATAAAGAGGTGGATCAAGGGTTTTAGGGAAAGTAGGAAAATTACAGATTATAATTAAGAAATTACTGTATACGATATCTATGAGATTAACGAAAAAAAGTTTACTTATGGAGAGTTCACAAACTAAAATTTATATTTTCAAGGGTTTACATTGCTTTGGTTATGGGCAGGGTCTAGTGGCAAATGGTTTATACTTCAAATATATAAATCATGCTTACTTAAAAAAATCGAACCTAAAAAGGGTTATTTTCAATTCTATTAAGTACACATATCGTGAATGAGGGTCGATTTGTTATTATTTTCTTTCTATGGAATTAAAATTTCTATGAACCATGTTCCTTATCTCAAAGTTTGAAATATCAAGAGAAGATAAATTTGTTGACTGTATATTTTCAAATAGATTAATATAATGTATATGCACTATCATATTCCTCTCTCTCTCTCTCTCTCTCTCTCTCTCTCTCTCTGAGGGTATATAAGTATGTGTGTGATTGTTGCAATGAATTAAAAAATGAAGAAAATAATTAAATAAAAAGAGAATCTTATGAATCACAGTTTACATGCTTGTATAAATGTTGTTTCAGTGACCACAGGGGGAAGTGGAATCATCGGCAGCAATATAACGTGTAAGTTGGTCTGTGCAGACCTTCACTGTCTCTCCATACATGTGAATTGGTATTTCCGTTAAATCTCTGATGACTTATCAAACATCTTCAAGCACTTCATGTATTCGTGACCTAAAGTATAAGAACCCATCATGCAATAGCAATTTTTAAGATATTGAATTGACTGGATTACATAACCATCTCCCCCATGGAAGAGAAATTAAATATTCACGTGTCTCTTACTTTAAGTGTTCTAGGCTTTCCATTTTTGTATAATTATATCATGCTTGTGTTATTTACATTTATAATATCCCAAATATAAGGACGCAAAAATCACGGCTTAAATATTGAATATTTATATTTTCAAATGTTTTGTCCGCGATAAATCGACAAATAAGGAAATAGTTTTATATTTTATGAAGCCGTTTGCTCATCACATGACAGAACTGTCTTCTCGATGTGTGTGATTTATTTAAAATACATGTACACCAGGCATAGATTTCTGATTATTGAACATGTTGAATGTTGAATGAAAATTAAATAATGTGTGTTTTTATTTATAATATTGATACAATTTAAAAAAAAAATTGAATCCATGACCCTGTACAAATGTTAATATAAGGAATAACTGTCTGGTTTGTTGGTTTTATGATGATGATGATGATGATGATGATGATCGAACAGTTTTAGTAAACTCAAGTGATATTTTAATGCATAAACGCCCTCAGTTTTTATGCAAGTTATCACGTGTACAAACTGTTTGATCACATCATAAAGCCCAGTTAAAAGTTAACTGTTAAAAGACAGTTATTACTTAGATTAAAGTATTTTATTTTGGACAAACGATGTGATTACAACGGCAAAAAAGAAATCAAAAGCAGTCTTTCAATGAGAAGTTTAGATATATACGTGCGATTAAATGAAATTATTAGTAATTATAATATCTATAATAAATGTCAGACATAAAGTAACTTTAAAAATTGATTAAAGTAGAAATATAAAACAACTAGAAAGTGTGGTACATTGTATTGCAAGCAATAGAATATGTCACCCCAAACTGACCCCAAAGTATTGAAAACAGAGTTAGCAAGTACGTACTATAATTAAAAATTTCGTAAACATTCAATTTTTAAAAATTCTACCGTTTTGTTTCCATTGCAAACGACAGCCATTTCAAAAATTTTAAATATTGCATGGTGTGCATGCATAACTACACCTGGTGCGTATCATTATTCTTACATGTAAGTTTCATTAAGAGTGATCAAACCATCTGCGAGAATTCCTATGGACAAAATTTCAATATGTCATCGGCCTTTGTTTGGATCAGCAAACGTTCTACAGCAGAATTTTTACTCTTTTTCAGCATTAAGACATACTGGAGGACAGGATGACACTTTGATTTTACATGTTGTTCTTATTCCTACATTTCTGGGTTTAGTCATCATAGTATCCTTGTTCCTTTGTTATGTTTACAAAGTTAAAGTAAAGGAGATTCTGAAACAAGCCGTAAAACCGGTATGTGAAATATTTTTGTATGCTGTCTGTTAGAATGAAAAATAATTAATTTGTGTGTGTGTGTGTTTGAGAGACCTAATATTGACATATTTTTCAAATTCATTTATTGTTTTTCAATCTATACATTCATCAGATCAAGAAAAGAAGGAAGAAGGAAGCAGAAATCAATTTTAGAACACTGAAGGAAATGGAGGACAGAAATCAGACATACACAGATCCTTCCACATACTCAACCGTCACTTCCGGTAAACTCGCAGAAATCAATTTTAGAACACAGAAAGAAATGGAGGACAGAAATCAGACATACACGGATCCTTCCACATATTCAACGGTTGAAAATAAAGTGATCGTTTCATCACTTCCGGTAAACTCGCAGAATCAACAGGAAACACTTCCGCAGGATGAAAACTATAGTGCATTAGACAGGGAAAATGACGGAAAGAAAAACACACAAATTGACGACACCGATTATGACTCGCTGAATCATTCGAATAGAACAACAATATCTAGTACCAGTGACAATAATTACAGTAGCCTAAACTCAGCATTTAACAGTACGGAAAATATTTCGCCCAACCCTTATGGTATTTATAACTGATTTGAAAGTTGTAAAGGACTATATTCTGTAGTGGCCAGTATCTGCCCCCAAAATAAAACTTTGATGGAGAAGTCTTTAATTATGTTCTAAACCAGGTGGATATTTGCAGACTTCAAAGCATTAAGTATTTTTATCAACTATGACATCATTAGTTAGATATGACGTCAATAAAATGACGTAAATTCCAAATTGCAATGATTTTGAGAGAAAATAGCGTATTTTACGTCGGTATTTTGATTGGAAATTACCGAGCGCAGGTCTGCTCAGACTAGATCTTTTGATATAATGTGTAGAATGATAATATCAATGAAATATGTGAATATGGTACCTGAGCAGGCTTGCGCTCTATAAATACTATAGTCAAAATTGAACAAACTCTGTGCATTTTGGCCTCTATTTTTAAAAATAACGGAAATCCAAATAGTTTGTGACGTCACAGAGACAAGAAAAGCCAACTAATTTTTCCAATTTCATAATATATTGTCTTAATTTGGATTATTTTATACAATATATACACTTTTTCTCATTTCAAGAGATTTTCAAAATTTGACTATTATGGGGGCAGGAATACGCCCTTACCGTATATAGTTCTTTCCTCCAGATATTGCTGTTGTTTGAAAAATTTGAACGAGGAAATGAATTTTTAATGTGTAAATAAAACGGATAAATTAATTTCTCTTTCATGCTTATTTCATCAAGTAAAAAAGTCTCTGGTGCGTATACATGTATGAATCTCTATAATAAATGACAATATACACTTATTTCATGGCTACAAGGGGAACAGTTAAACTGTTGTCCCCAGGTAATGGGGAAGACATGGGGAGCTTTTGTCCGAGACCAAAGGCCTGTAGTAGGTTATAATGAACTTTATTCTCATAACTAAAAGGAAAGTGTATAGAAAACATATATGTACAAGGTGTACACACAATAGTAGTAATAATAATAATAATAATAATAATTTAAAGAAAAGCACATGCCTGAAGAAGATATAACAGCGTGTAATTAGCCAAGAGAGCTAATTCTCTCAATAATATTGGATTAATATTCAATCTTATTGTTTGACTTTCAAAGAAAGTGTAAATGGATTTTTTTTAAATTCTGATAAAACATGTACTGGATAGGGTTTTTCAAATTCTGTTGTTTAAATAAGTATGTATATGGAGAAAAGAATAAAACTATATAAGGACGACAAGATTTTATTAGATTTGAATATTAATCAAGTAATCAAATATTGGATAGACAGATCAAAGTCAAAAGTGTTGAAAAAAAATATGACACCACTCACTGGATATATAATAGATATACAATTCTGGTAGAAAATAAACGTATTTCAAGATTTTTTGATAAGAGTCTCAAATCTATTTGATGAAATAAAATATAGAGAACTATAACGAACAGTATTCAAGCTCAAAGTCCATTAAAACAACACAAATCGGGAGCAGAGCAAACACGGACCTCCAAAAACATCAGAAGTGAGATCGGGTGCCATGGAGGAGTGAGAATCCACTGCCGACTGGTCACATCCGCCATGTGCTCCTTGTCATAATCGAGAAATAACGGAAAAATCCGTCGACAATTCAGTGTGTAAATAATGGCCTAACAATTAGTATGAAAACGTCAGTCAGCATATGACATAATGGTAGATTGTATTCGCTGAAAAGGTTTCATAATGATAATTGATAAGGATATACCGGTATGATATGTATGTCTAACTTTTTTTTCAAACTTTGTAAAATAATACACTAAATACTGCAAAAAAATGTTCAGGGCTATAAGGCAAAGAGAATTGCAATTACCCGTAGAATAAAACCAGGCAAGTACATGTACAATATTATTAATGTACTACAATATTATTAATGTACAGTTGGTGCTCAAAATTAAAGTATATGGACATTTGAAGAAGAAGAAGTGTCAAATATTTAGCAATTTGTTCAACCAAGAAACTTTGATTTCCAAATGAAACGGAAGAGCCACATGGTAGTCTTATCGAGAGACACAAGCGAAGCAACTCTCGTGGCTGTCGCAGCACTGTTAAGGCGTACTTCGAAGAAATCAGCAGAATATAAACGTGCATAAATACATGCCTTATTAAAATAAATTTTAATTTTGTAAAGTTACTATATTATCTTATGACTTTAACATTCTTTGAAATAACATTGTATACCCCGCTCTGTACTAAATTTGGTTTGGTCACGTTATTTGATAGTCACGTGATAAATGCATGTAATGTGTACTGTATGTACAGACCCTGTGAAACGTGCTACTACCCCACACGCACGCTGCATGAACGGTACACGCTCGCTACACGGTTTACACGAAACGCTTTGCACGAAAGGCTGCACGGTTTACACGAAAGCCTGCACGAAACGCTTTGTACAATTTTCTCACACGCTTTGTACATGTACACGATTCTCGCACGCTTTGGCCTCGATCTGGATTTTCTATTCGGAATCTCTCGGACTTTATTTCAATTATTACGGATTAATCAAAGAGTAGTTAAGAATTACAATCATTCAGATTAAGTTAAGATTAAAACTCGCTACACCAGTACTATCTTAACAGTTAAAATTTATACTCAGTGTTCAATTGTAATTAATTAATAGTCATTGAGTATGTGACCCGCCCGGTGAAATGCTTTTCATCTTCAAACTTTTTTTCACTAGACTCTAAATTGCGCACTGAAAAAAAAAATAATTATATTTGTAATTCATAATCTTTTACAGCATTTAATGTTTTTACAATTATAGTTTGATATTAAAAGGTCGTTTCATTACTTTATTACTGACAAATAAACTCATCCGTTTCACAGTTATATTTGAAAAAAAAAATAATGATTACATAGCGTATGATTTCTGTAAACGGGTTGATTTTCTTTTCCTTTTTTTAATTATTGATTGATTTATACATTTTTTCTGATTTAGTAAATAAAATAATTTCATTTGATTAAATTAGGTTCTGTTTATAATTTGCAAAGGTAATATGTACACTGCATCAAACAGGAACATTGTGCAGGAAAAGGGGGGGGGTAGATTACCGAGATCTTACTGTTGTATCTTCAAATCTGCACATGGCTAAATATAACGGGCACTTGTTTCAGTAAGTATACCATCGGAGAAGAAAATTATTATAGAAACAAGTGCCCGTTCTAAGAAAAAAAAAAGATATTCTTGCCTCCAGCGGGACCCGATACATGTAATTCATCAATATGCACTTTATTCAAAATGGTAAATATATCGTTTCATTACAGAGCTAAACTTTAATTTATCATTAAAATCTTATATGGTAGAGAAGCCGGGGGGATATGTATTGTAATTCTTTTGTTCTCTTTTCAGGCATTTTGTTTATCAAATATCAATATACCCACCACCTTTAAAATTCCTTGATTTCAAACCCCGTCTAGAAAAAAAAAATTAATAATAATGTAATCAATAGTCGCGGCTCTTAACAATACATTCAATATATATGTATACATGTCCTATGTCCTAAAACCTAAAAAAATTATGCTCTAGAACTGCGTGATTAATAAAAACAATTAATATATAATTATATAGAATTAATATATAATTATATAGGATTTATTTCTTTATATTATTTTATTCACGAATACACTGGCAAATTAATTCACTGTTTACAGACAATTAAACGGATAAATTTAAGAAATAAAATCCACGGGTATTACCGTTTAATTAATCAATCGTTGCTATGATAGCAAAACAAGTTTTCAGTCCCGACACGCGGAGTCCGCGATCGCTGTTGTAAATGACCTTGATCACAGTCGTAAGAAGAGTATTGAAAGTGTAAAGAAGATTCCAATATATTTTTAAGGGCGCATCGGGCGCAACCCATCGAAAAAAGCAGTAATTTTCTCACAAAAGAAAATTATCAATAAAACACTTGTTTACAAGAAAAATTCAGTTTGTGTTTTCATTTGATCACCCCCCCCCCCCCAAAAAAAATTTAACCTTGTATTTGCCGATGCATGTCAATTATAATTCATTTATATGACTTTTATTAATCAACCGATTTTATGCATAAAAAGACAATAAATGACTCATCGTTTTCAAAATTATTTGTATCACAATCTTGTAATATAGAAAAAATATGTTCGTTTATAAAGAAAATCAATTAAATGTGCTCCCCGGCCTAGAATTCCTATACTTAACATTTATAGCAACGCACTAAATTTTGCATTTTATTTTTCATGCCTGCCATAAATTTATCTATTATTTTGTAATTAACACCGATATGCTCTTGTAATCTCTATATCCCATGTAAAATGGTGAAGATATTCAAATAAATGAATGAAAAGGACAAGACCGGATTCCTAATGAATTTTCTTTTATAAAAATATTCAGTATTACTCCCTTTAAAAATGTATTGAATCAATTACCTTAAAATTGATGTGCATATAATTAATTACTTTTAACACATTTTCTGTCCATATTTATTTAGATAAATAAATAAAGAAAATCAAACAAATATGTAATACATTACCGAATAATTTTATTTTGTTGTTTCCGTATTTTTTTTCACTCTTATAATACCACTGGTATATGATATATCTGAATAATATTAGTCACAAACAACACAGAATGACATGTTGATCCAACAATAGTCATATTTAAAATAAAAGGACTTCCGAATGAATCCTACATGTACACGTTTCTCACACGATTCTTGCACGAAAGTCGCACGGTTCTTACACGAAAGTCGCCCGTTTCTCACACGCTTCTCGCACGCTCGCTACACGGTTTGCACGAAACGCTTTGGAGCTTACACGAAACGCTACACGGTTTGCACGAAACGCTGCACGGTTTACACGAAACGCTACACGGTTTGCACGAAACGAAAAGCGCACGAAAGTCACACGCTTTTTTGGGGTAGTAGCACGTTTCAGGGTCTGTAGGTCACAAACAAATTTCAATATCGCAAGGGCATACCCTAGTTAAAATTAAAAATTAAAGTAATAGATTATTTCTACATAACTTGTAGTTTATGGAAAGTGCTGCTGCTTTAAATAGAATTCGCATCTTATTAGTTTAAATTTCAAGTTATCTTGCTAATGTCGAAATATGTGTGACCTTTACCAAGTATTTTATGTATTTATTAAGTTATGATATCGATTTCAGAAAAGCAGCAGCACTTTTCAAGTTAAGGAATATGTTCATTATGTGTATTCAAAAAATTGTCAAGATCTATTAAGTGTATGCCCTTGCGAAAAGGCGATTTAATGAGGCACCTAGGCGTGAAACATGCACACCCTGTATACAAAAACACGGTAGAATTAATTCAATACATCCTCTCGATATTTTTTGAATAATGGCACTAAACAAACGTTTCAGATTTGTATTAATGGTCTACCTAAGATTTTCAAATAATATTCTGTTTAATAATAAAATGCATTTTTCACTGTGAAAAAATTACTTGATCCGCCTTTCACTGCACATAAAATGCGTCAAACTTTACCAGGATGACGTCATGTCTTGTTTAAATATCTTGCTTTGTGGGATTTAACTAGCGACAAAAATGAATGCATTGGTAAGTTTTGATGTAGTTCATTACTCTTATGCAGTTTAGGTTCGCAAATTATTTCATTTTCTGTTATTGTGAGGAATTGCTATATTTGTTTGATGTCACAGTAAACTTTTCCAGTATAAATTAGGCCCCGCCCCCTTTATGCAGCCTTAACAGAGCTGCAGTACCAATAAATGTATATTTAGGTCTAATCACGGTACTTCTCATTTGGGAGGATTATGATTTCATTTGGACGGGGTCATCTTTTCATTTGAGCGGAATACCTTTTTTTTTTCAAAAAGGTGAAAAAAAGTGGAGACTAACTGTGAAATCCATAGAGATAGCATCAGTTAAAGAGGCTCTGGGTCAACAAATTAACCATTAGATAAAACTTAATTTTTTGATATGATATCTTAAGCTGTCAACTATCATTTAGCAAACAAAAATTTCATACATTTTAATTTTAAAATTTGATCATTTTTGTATATCTTTATATGGAGCTCTTCTTCTAAAGGAGATCAATATAGTCTGAAAATGGCCACAACCATCCAGCCCTCTTAAAAGATTCAATTAATTAATTATTACTCCATATATTTCATTAATACATTATTAATTGTATTCCACAAAATTAAAAAATAAAACCACTGTACATGAAATACCCCAAACGGGAAATTGTCCCATGCCATACACCTTTTACTCGTGTTTGTGTATGTCAGTTTGATGCCATCTATTTTCATTCACAAAAATCTCAGAAATACAAGACTTTCTTAATGGAGATCGTTATTTTCATTAGTACTAAAGATTACTATAGTAGTTGATATGTTTTCAGTGGTAATGAATGGAGCACACTACTATATGTGCTTTAGATAAATTTTAGTTAATTTATTACCTGCAGATTAATTCGGCCAAATGAAATAATAAAATTCCGCCGAAATTAAATAAATCATATTTGAAAATTCCGCCTTAACGAAGAGCACCAAAAATGTACTACAGTGAGATAAGCATAGATAATTATGTGTTGAAAAAAAAAATACATCGAAGCAAAATTTTACACTTTACATTAAAAGATCTTTCTGACAAAATATCAAAATGAATAAAGATTCAGACAGAAATGATCAAATATCAGTAAGTGATTATTTTAAAATTTAAGTAGATCAACGTTGCTATTTATTTTGGTCAAATGTATGGTATGTATTATTGTATGTTTTGTTAAGTAAACTTGTTTGTTACCTCTGTTATAATATATTGTTGTTTTCAATCTATATCGAAAATTGTCGATATATGTATGAATATTACATTTAAATACCAACTGTGAGGTCTAACGGATGTGGCTTTAACATATAGGAATTTCAATATTTCTCAAATATATATTTGGTCTGTCACAATGGTGATACTTGTCTCAAATTACATTCCAATCATGACGACAGCGTCCAGTATTTCGGAAATATACGGAGGGCAATTTTAAGTGTACAAAGTACTTTATGCATGCGTGGAATTCCTATAGTTCCTTCGTTGTTACATTACAAGCCTCATAATGATTTCTCTTGGCGATTGACAGCTGACTTCTCTGGAAAGAACGATGGGTGACTTTGTGGGTCATTCTTTAGGGAGTATGCAACTAGGACCAATACTCAATAAAAGCGGCATCGACCATGTCAGCCACGGCCTTGCCTCCCCAGGAAAAGGTTTTCTGAATTTATTCCTTTATATGATTTATCGTTTTCATACTTGGTTTATTTTCGCCAGATTGTTTTAATTTCACCATTTATACTACATTTTTGAAGCTGAAGTTTAAACTTTTTTGAAGCTGAATTTTTTAAAAAGATTCAAACTAGGTCGATTTAATTTTCTGTGTCATCGGTCAATACAAGTTTTTCCAGAATGATATTCAGTGTTGAATGTTAAATAATGAAAACTGTATGATGAAGAAAATTAACGGCAAATTATTAAGTTAACGTATAATTTTCATACTCTTTTATTTCAATGACAAAAACCCCATAACTTTTGAAATTTTAAATTTTAGATAACATGTATTTAAAATAAAGATATCAATAATGAATGTTAATTAACTTTAAAAACTAGTATAACTTTTAGCATATAGCATGGCAAACTTGGGGAAAGACTTGCAATCATACACACAAGCAGAATCAAAAGGAATCATGTTCAAAAATGGCAACTTTTCGCAGCACAACATTACAGGTAAATATAAAAAAAATATAATATATGGATTGTGCAAATACGCATTATTCTTAATATAATGGTTGAATTGAATAATTTGTAATTTTTTAATTTTCTATCGATGTTGGAAATCGTATGTAGAACAAACAGTGAAAGCGGACTTCTTACGGCTATACATTAACCAAAACAAAAACAAAACAAAAAACAAAAAAAAACAAAAAACAAAAACAAAAACAAAAAAAAAAAAAGAAAAAAGAAAGCTAATAAAAAAAAATTTCGGTGTAAGAAGATGCCAATGTTAAATATTTACCATACAGCTAAAAGCAAATAAGATAGATTCATCTGAATATTTTGAGCGGTAGTATTAAAAACTATTCATGCATATATTATGCAGTATGACATTATAGTTCTACATGTTACTCAAATAAAAATCTTTTAAAATGAAAAAATAAAAAAAAATTAATTAGTTGAAATCTACTTTTCTCATTTGTAGAGATGACATATGAAGAGACTGCAAGCTACCAACCCAACATTGTTATTGTTATACTAGCACTGCTCTTGGCTGGACTTATTTTTGTTGCAGCACTTCTCTCCTTCATAATCTTCAGGGAAACACTGACTTCTCTCAAAACCTATTGTTTTCGAGTAAATATGATTTACACTTTTTTTCTCTAAATTTATCATCAATGTGGATAAATTATAATATCTGTGCACACAAGTTATTAGTCCGTTTAGCATCCAAATCAAAACTGCTTTCAAGAACCTAAAAATGCTGAAATTTAACTGGAATTGCTAAATTACTTGGTACTAGAACTGTACGTTGCTAAAGAGCACATTGTAAAGAATAAATAAAATTTAGATCACTACTGTTATAACCAGTCTATGTAAGACCTAAAAGGTACATGTCCAAATAATTTCACCAAATTCATGGTAAGAGGTCAAAGGCAAGATCTTACAATAACGATAATATCATTATAATAACATGTATATCAAAATCAGTTTACAGCCTGAAGTTATCTCAGACAGAGTTAATGGGAATTAGCAAATTCTCAGGTCAATAGGCGGCAAAACAACACTATCGTTCACCAATTAAGTAATTAATATTTTAGATTTCAATACATTAAAACTGGTACTCTCTTTACAGCTTATGGTTTCTACAGACCAAACACGTACAGACACTCTACAGAGACTCTCTGCTACAGCATGTACAGAGAACGCCGGAACAGCCTCTGCGACAGAGAACGACGGAACAGCTTACTCGACGATTCTGATAGAAGAAATGAACCACAGAGATTCAAAACATGTTACAGCAACAGATGGCGCTCTTGGTTCATCCGACAACCATCATCAAGCTAATGATTACAGCCGCTTGAAGCGTAACTATGGCAACAGGATAAACAGTGATGAAAGAGGAAGTAGCCATCTGTATGACTCAGTGGAATTTAACACCGAGAATAGAAATAAGGTGTATTCAGTAACAGCTGATACTTACTCGGTTCAATACGCATTTCCCCCTGATATGTATATTATTCATTTCCCGGAGGTGTTCTGACTATAGTTCTTGTAGAATTATTTCAACCTTTAGTGATGAGTTTAATTTATGTGATGGTGTTAATAATTTGCAGTAGCTGCCTTGTAATTCCAAAAGAAGTTTCATATCCTTGATCTAGGTAAACAATACGTTTGTTTTTTTTAAGCCAAGAAAACTTTTTTGTGATAATTTATTAACGAGTAGTGTTGCAGATCAAGTAAAAAAATTATTTGTTTCTGTAATGCCATCTTATATTCCTTTGTGATATTGAGGGAATTTGTTTCATCAACTTTAAATCGTACTATAATTTCTTTAATGTTCTTTGGTAGTAAAATTTACTATAATAAAAAAAAACGGAATAATCGTGCAAAGTGAAACAGTTGCTCTAGCATGTGACACGCTGTACATTTTACAATAAATATACGATTGTGTTCTCGAGAGCTCTCTATATTGAAACTCCTAAACCGGAAGCTGGTGATATAAGTTTTTTCCTTCAACAGGAAAGGTGGACTCGTTCGATATGATTCACACACAAAAATAACACACATACACACACCGATTAAGTCATGTTTTGTTTTCCTTTTTATTTAATTTTAAATCTGAAATCGACTTTGGAAGATGGGTCCAAAGGACTTTGTGAGACAAGGACTTAGTAGCCCTGTTCTTCAAAAGTCAGGAATCGATTTTAAGAGTTCCAGTCTTTCACAACATCTGCTACCAGGTTGGTATATATTTGGTCTCACCAGTTTTTTTCTTCTAAGATTCATGTAAAGCTAGCTTTTATCAATTTAACACTCAAGAGGATAATATGAAATATTTTAACAGGTTACAGAATGTACATGTAACATACCAAAGGATTTATACAAAAAAATTATCATCTCTGTTACATAATTCTACAACTTTGGAATAACAGTCAAATATATTCTTTTTTTAATTTAGTACAAAGTTATCAAAGAATGGACAAAGCTTCTTTTTTCAACGCAACATTAAACGATACCCTGATAAACAATGCAAGTAAGCATTTTTAATTCACTTGGTTAACTTTTGAAGTTTAAACAAACTCCAAGCTGTTTAGCTAGCAACACATACTTTGTACAATAATTCCTTACATTTTTAAAGACGAAATTATTTGCAATCCATTGAAGAAAATTAATGTTTTGCAGACACGTGTTATTTTTACACTAGGATCAAATGGAAAGCCAAAGCAAATGTGATAAATGGAAACTTCAAAGTTTTGTAGTTCGATAAATAATGTATTTTACCAGTGGAACTTATGACTAAGACCAAAACTTCAGTTGATTGTAAAATTTTGCAAAATTACTGATTCTGTTTAAAATTGCTAGCGTAAAAGTATCTTTCTACATATCTTTTAAAAATATTAAAACTATTTTCTTTTTAATTTACATTAGAAAGTTATTAGCAGAATGAAATTTTGGTCTTAGTCGTAAGTTCTTTTGTAAAACGTGCCCCAGGACTGTTTGATGTTTTCACCGGCAAGTGTACGCGGTACTTTTAAAAGATTCGAAAAACCGTTCTCACTTCTGACACTACAAACATTATTCTTTAATCCTCTTTTTCTCAGACACTTAAATTCTTATTACAGGTATGTTCCATATCTACTAAGTATCGGTTTTAAATCTTGTCCTATCTGAAAACTTTCATACAATTATATATATATATATATATATATATATATATATATATATATATATATATATATATATATATATATATATATATATATATATATATATATAAGGGTTGTTAAATCGATCAATTTTTTGTAACCTGTTACTCGCAAGCCTTTCCAATTGCACATTGAGTACTCGAGTACTCTCACATTATCAAGGGAAAAAAAATCAATCTAAAATTTGACCGTTATATCGTCACCATCGAATATTGTTCTCTGTCACTGACATTCAGGATCTAAATGCTGGCGTAATTTGTGTCTAGAGTGAAAAGAAAAAAAAAGATAAAATCCAAATTTCATAAATTTATATGTATTTTAATAAATTTAAGAGATCTTATATACCTTAAACGAAGCTGATACCACACAGTTATACATCAGAGACATATATTGTTAGATAACAAAGGCTGTACTACGGGCCCTGTCACACCAAGCTGCGTCCACACGGAGTCATTACGGCGTTGTAAAAATGTTAAAATCGCAGTGGAATCGCAAGGAAATCGCACAAATTTCTGTAAAATTTTTACAATGTGAAGATGTCACGGTGTCCCTGCGGCGACCCACGCGTTTCTACGGCGTTCTCGCGGCGTGCTACTGCGTTCCCAACGGAGATCTCTTCGCGATTGACTGCGCTTCCGCGGAGCTTTTACGGCGTGTTAGGAGTTGTCACCTCGCGTTCACGGCGTTCTCACTGCGCTTGCTGCGTTCACAATACGTCCACGATGCGTTCTTCACTATGGAAAAATATCCAGAGGGAGTGTAACACATTTTTTCTAAAGATTCGAGTCACATAACGAAAAGACTTCAAAAATGATATATTGAATAATTTAGTACTAAATTACTGTTAATTTTATAATTAATACCCTTCTTTTTTCAATTATATCAGATGTGTTTTTTCTTTGATTTTGTTATGAATGTAAAAAATAAACACACTGAAAAGTTGTTATAAAAGAGCCATAGCTGCCTTACCGACGACACGGCCGACTCAAGAATTTAAAAGGAAATCACCTGTTTCTATTTATAGATATACTGTACCTCATGAGCAAACTATGTAATATGATTTGAGGACGAGTGTTATATTTTCATAGTTGCAAGTATGTCAAATGACAATCATTTTACTTGTTCAATACTCTAATTCTGAGACAAAAGATTTACGCAGAAAATCAATAAAAATAAAACAAGTTGCTATGAATTTGCAAACTTAAATAAAATAGTTAAGGACAGTCTTTTCCCGAGATACTTTCAAAGTGTAATGTGTATAGTATAACTTTCTGAAATTGTGTATATTATAAAACATAATAAAGAAAACGTAGAAAAGATACACAAAGAAAAAAAATTAAAAAAAACATAAATAGAAAAATGTGGGGCTCGAACTCGCAATCATCATATTTACATTCCAGCAATCATACCGCTGCGCCAACGAAGTCAATGATGCCAAGTTGATAAATTTAAGACAGATTGCTAAATCTTACGATTATATGAGAAGAAAAATTTAATATATATTTTCATCATTTTCAATATGAAGACCACCTTTAACCAAAATTATCTAAAGGGAATGAAGTGCAGACATATCCAAATAAAATTATTCAAAAGTTATTTTTCTGGTTAAGGGTGGTCTTTGGCAACAGTTTGTCATCGTTAGGTGGATACCTCAATATTTACTATATATTCTATACAAACTGGATAATTTTCAAAGTTATCATATGAGGGAACTATTAACTTTTAAATATCATTATTGTGTGATTTGGTTTTACGCATGTATAAACTAAGACTGTATGACAAAATGAACAGTTTGTCATCGTTAGGTGGATACCTCAATATTTACTATATACTCTATACAAACTGGATAATTTTCAAAGTTATCATATGAGAGAACTATTAACTTTTAAATATCATTATTGTGTGATTTGGTTTTACGCATGTATAAACTAAGACTGTATGACAAAATTTTGGTTAAAAAATGTTTTTAAGAAATCACTAGTAGAGTAGGCGAAAATGCCTATCAAATGCGCTATGGCTCTTTAAGTAATTCCATCGCAACTCCACTGAAACAACAGAACAGGTTCTGGTGTAATTTTTACTTCCCAATTCTACTCCCATGCTCCTGGCCAGTAGTGCAACAAATACGTTAGAATTATTGCTGATCAAATATGAGGCCATTGCTCTTGTTTTGTGAGCTGGCTGACAACGCTCTAACAACGCCGTGAAAGCGCATTGTGATCGCCAATGTACGCGGTAGAAACGCCAAGGGAGCGCAATGATCGCAGTGACAACTCGTTGTTGTCGCTGTGTAATCGCAGTCAAAAAAATCACATGACAATTAATCTCATTAGAAGCGCCGTAAAAGCGCGATAGAAACGCCGTGACATCTCCAAGGACTCCGTGGAAGCGCAGTCTACTATCACTGCGTTCATGCTGCGATCAAGTGCGTCTTCACGGCGTGCGTACGGAGTTCCCACTGCGTTGTTGGAGATCTCACCGCGCTGCTACGGCGATCATACTGCGTTTCTACTGCGTTCTTATCAGACGGCGATCACACGGCGCGTACTTTGTGCATGCCCAAAGTACGCGCCGTCCCCTGGCGTTCTTGGAGACCCTACGCGACCCTGCCGCGTTCAGTGGAGATCTCGCCGCGTTGTCACGGCGCTGTAGGAGACTCTACTGCGCTCACCTCGGCGTTTTGCATTTTTTATGGACGCCGTGCGATCGCCGTGAGGACGCAATCCCGGTGTGACAGGGGTTTTACATTGAAAGCATCACAGAAAAATAATCAGAAACATTTAGATGACACACTTATTAATAAGGACAGTCACAAAACTAAAAAGAAAGAGTATAACTTTCACAAGTATAGCTTTAATATAAGTAATAAAGTCAGTTGCAGTACATTGTATTGTTTATGGCTAGGGGCACGTTATGAGTGCAGCTCACAGTTCAAAATAACTATATAAAATATAGCATGGACTCTTTTATTAGTACATGTAACTTAGAAGCAAAAATACTTCCGTATTCAATCTGCAAACCAAATCTTAACAAACCAGTAGTTTTAAATCTATAACACGTAAAATATGTGAAGCGGAATCAACTTACATGGGAGGGATGAACCTAGCGTATCCAATATAGATGCACGAAGTAGAACAGATAAATCAGCTGTTTTAAAATTTTTAAATTTCTCAGCGAAGCAAAACTTTGTGAGGCACACAATCTGATGATATAAGACAAGCCTCACAAACTGGCATACTAATTATGAATTGCAAGCAATTGAGAATGGTCGAGAACAAGGTTATTGAACATTAAAAAAAATCATGAAAGATATCTGTACGTCTAAATTGATAATGACAATCATTCTAAACTTCTCTTACAGCAAAACTTATTGTTTGTCATAACCATATGTATTTATAGTTATTTACATGTATGTTCCTTATGGTTCTTATATGTTTTGTTTAACTAAAGGTGTCTATTTTTACTAAACCGTTATTTCCTGTAAATTTCTTAAAGTCGGTTAAAGAGCTATCTTAGCTCATGTTTATTTGTTAAACTGTACATACATGTATGCGCCAACTGTACATAACATTCATTTGACTAACACGACTTTATTTATTGTATAAACATGACAGGGTTGTGTATTCACGCTTTGTAACTGAGGTAACGGAAAGACGATTTCTGAAATCAGAATGTGCTTGACAAATAACGCAGAAAATAAAGAAATATTGCATGATTTATTTTTTTCCCAAGTACTCGAATACCGATTTTAGTATTCAATACTCAAGTTACTCGTTGACAACCCGTATTTTATATATATCACTGAGCGAAACTTAACAGCCACATAATAAAAAAGAAAGAGGTTATAACCAATAATTTCAGTAAATATTCTAATTTCGATTGAACTGTATATCTATGGTAACGCTACGCTTTCTGATCTGTAGCAACAACGACTCCACCTAGTACCAAAATATGGGATAAACCAAATAGTAAAGGATTTCTGGCTGTGGCGATTCCTCTGTTGATAACTGGAGTGGTTGCAATTCTTATCCTTGTACTCGTGTGTTTTCGCTGCAAGAAGAAAAGAGATGCATATTACGGGGAACCATATGATTTTTCCCTCGTGGATCAATCTATTGTTAGTAAAAATGTCATATTCATGAGAAAATTGAACTAAAGATGAATAGAATAATAGAAACTTTTTTAAAATATAAATTATTATTATTATTTGATATTATACATGTATATTAGATCATTCATATTGATTGTTTGAAACTTAATGAGTAAAAATTTAATCAAAACCGGTCCTTTTAAGGATTTGCTAAGGAAAAAGAAGTTTTGTATAAACGTAAAATAAAATTAATATATATTTTCTTTTGACAGCAAGCAAACCAGTCATCCATCTTAGGACATGGAGTAATAATGGCACAAGGAACAGAATACCGCGAGACGGATTATCACGAGATCGGTGACGTAGAGGAACCAGCAAACCAAATGGACGACAATCAAAATGGCGTTCTGAGATTCCACGAGGATGTTCACAATGAAGCAGAAGATCATTATGTTGACCCGTGTAATGACAAAGAATACAGAGAAAAGTTAAAATCTTATCCACCGTCTAATACATACGTGAATGATTATTTTTCCGTTTGTCATTTAGGACAGTCGCCGTACTTCGTATTGGAGCCTGGGCTAGAACCGAGATATGTGAATGAAAGGTGAATGATTCACTCTTGGATATTGATATGTTAAACTTACGTTCCTTAGACCATACATATACTGAAAGTAAAAACAAACGCATATTTTACATTTTTAGCACTATATACACATAGAAAATATCCGAACATAAATGTTTTTGGTTGTTCAATTGAATGTCGGCTACAGATTCATGAATAGAAAATCATCCATCTATAAAATAAGCGTGTTCGAAGAGAGAACGAAAGTTTGACAACGAATTGGGTGTGAAGGTACACGTCATTCAATTTGTAATCATTGTTGATTTTTCGATGGCTAAGTGCAAAAGTTCCGTAGTTTATTTGTGTTGACATAACTTGTTACAATGCCTCAAATAAATAAACGTCAGAAAGGTGAAGCAATAGGGTTACTTTTGCAAGGAAAAAGTCAAATTTCTGTTGCTTTTTTAACCGTGCACAGTCAACCATATCTCGTCATAGACGGCGGTTGCTGACAACAGATGCCTAAATGATTGTCTTAGATCTAGAATTGGCCGTCCGCGGGTAAGCCACCAAGACGGAAATTCGTCTTCCCCATCTCAGTAATCGTTTCCAAAGTTGTAGAAACGTCTGCTGCAAAAACAGTACGAAATAGACTGAGGGAGGCGGGTCATGGAGCGCGCAGGCCTACAAAGGTTTGCCGTTGATGCGCAACCGTAGGGACGTTCAATTTCACTGGTTACTTAGACATCATACAAACCAATTTCCCTTGCAATGCTAGAGAAATATGTTATTTTCTGGCGAGTTTAGATTCGTCCTTTTCCTTGCAGATGGAAAGAGGCAGGTGTATAGGTCCAACGGTGAACGTTTTTCCGATGCATGCGTCCTGGAGCGCGATTGTTTCGGGGAAGGTCCATAATGGTGTGGGGTGGAATAGCTTATGGGCTTAAGACGTCTTTAGTTGTTGTTGATGTCTGGTATAAGTTATCAAGACCTTATGTTGTACCTTTGTGCGTCAGCATAATCTTATTCTACAACAGGATAATGCTCATCCACATGTTGCAAGAATATGTAGGGATTTTCTGGCAATAGACAATACTGTACCATCTATTTGCCTCCATACAGTCCCGACCTCTCTCCCATAGAACATTTGTGGGATGAAATTTATAGACAACGTCAAAATCTTCAGAATAATTAACCCTAAAGAGCTTACACAAGCAGTGACGGAAAAAATGGAATAGCATCCCAACATTTAACAGAAGCATTAACTCGATGGACAGATGAATCCGCTCAGAAATTACTGCGCGTGGCTGACACCATCGATATCAATGAAGTGTTGAATTCTTACATATGGCCCCTTCTTAAGAATGAGTCTTTTTTGTGTCCTGTACCAAGATGCCCATTATTATGTTTGTTGATTAACATTGTTCGTAAATACTAGTAATCTAAAATTTGCAAAATAATTGTTGATGATTATTCAAATTTCAATAAAATTCTTAACATCAATGTCAACATGTATGCATCTCTTTTTTCCCTTTAATATGTGTAAAAAGCAAGTAACAATGGTTGTCAGATTTTTACTTTTTAAATTTTATGTTTATTTCTGTATGAAATAGTTTGGCTGCTGATTGAAAATAAATCGCTTCACAAGAGTCAAGTTGTTTAAGTATAATCATTATTTGTTTGGGTGATTGAGGAAAAATAAAATTAAAAAAATGCTTCAACTTTTATATACTGAATTTAAAGGAGATTCATAAGGAAATTTGTTAAATTGGACAATAAGGAAGTAAGGTTTTCTCGCAATTCCGAAAAAAAAAACCCAGAGTAATAAGTGTCTTGAATCAGATATACACTGTAATTAATACATGTATACTTGGTTCATATTTGAAGACTAGACATAAAATCTTCTTCGGGATATTTCTGCAAGCATAGAATTACCAATAACTCAATAACCTCCCCAATGCGAATAATGGAACTAATGTTATTCCATAGATTTCCTTAGTATATGATCAAAGTCACATGTACATTCATTACCTACATCTGTGTAAAAATTTCTTATGGTTTTATTCACTGTTTATACAGTTATATACAAAAGAAGAAAGGGTAGTTGTACATACTGACCAGATAGAAACATGGCTGCAGTTAAAAAAATGGTAGAGGAGGATGGTAGATATACTTTAAAATATATCGCTAGTGTTGTTGGGATCTCATCAGCAAAGGTACATGAAATTTTGACCAAGGATCTCAACCTACGTAAAATAGGCACGATGGATACCGCATCTCTTGACACCAGAACAAAAGTCAACGCGTTTAAAATTTGCCAGAAAAGTTTTAAAGATAAATAAAAACTGCAACAGAAGAAAGCTTGCTGACCTGCTAACAGATAATGAAACTTGGATATACTTTTTTGAACCGCGAAGAAAATTTGGGTTACAAAGAATGTTTAGAGCCCTGTCATTGCAAAATGGTGTCAGAGTGCTTAGAAAATTTTGTATGCTATTTTCTTTAATTCTAGTGGCCGATTTGTGTAAATTCCAACTCCGTAAGGTCGGGGTATCTCGGGACAATTTTACATAAATTATGTACTGAAAAAAAATTAAAAAGTATATGAAATGACTAAAGTCAGGTTTGAAGAACATTAAGCTCATTAATGACAATGCTCGAGCTCATAAGAGTAAAACAGTTCAAAGTTTTTTGAAGGATAAAAAGGTTGATAGCTTCCCCATCCCCTATATTCTTTCGACCTAAGTCCTTGTGACTTTCTCCTATTTCCTACGCTGAAACAGATGTTGTCTGGATATGTCTGGCTATACTTGGCACAGTGCAGTTGGTAGTGCTGTGTATCAGTGCTTAGACAGTACTCCAAGGGAATACTACCTCGGGCTTTCAAATAATGGATATGTAGATTGCAAAAGTGTGTGAATGTATAAAGGGGTTACTTTGAAGGATTAAACTAGTTTACATTTTGATACATATTGTTCTTTTTATTTTATTGATATACTTGCAAATTTTCTGATTGCCCCTCGTATCTGGAGAAGTGATAACTTTTATCTTGAGGATGAATATGAATATACCCAGATCTATTCATATTAAAAATCCTAATATAGTGCAGAATCAAAGTTTGATCAAATCGTGGTACTCATGATCAATGGTAAAATGGGGCCCAAATAGGGGCTAAAAGTCTTAAATTTGAATATGTATGAAACATCCCTAAAATCTTCTTTTTTTTGTCAAGAACAGCAAGATGGTAACTCATAACTGTTAACATATTGATATTCTCAGGTAACGCAAATTCAATACGTTTATGGTCCCAAGGGTAATTAGGGTCACAAAATGTGATTCAATGTTTACAAGGGATATAAAAGAAACATTTTTTCAAAAAAATCTCCTCAAAATACATCAAGTACATGATGAGTCATATAAAAATGCAGTACTTCACTGTCTTTGAACATTTCCCCGGGGGGGGGGGGGGGATAGAAAAGCTCAATATTCACACATTTATACAATATCATTTTCTTAAGACCCAAAACAGTTTGCTTTAGTGTATAGAAGGCCCTTAAAAATCATCTCAGAAAAAGCAGTACAACAGTTACTCATATTGATATCCCGACATCCCATTAAAGTGCAAAATTATATACGTGTGTGTTCAGATCATGGCCCCGGGCATAGGACTGGCTTTAAAAAGCATCCAAAATTGTATTTGTGAATACATACAAACATTTAAGAGATAACGAAAAGTAGCGTGGCGATATGCAGTAAATCAGACTGATATGCAAACATCCCCACGTCCAACTTTGCTCAAATTATGGACACTTGGTTTAACTTGGGGCTAAAATCTGGTATCAAATCTTTGAAAAGATATGCATAAAGGAAAAAAGAATCTTTTCTATTTTTTTCTCTAACAGCAAATCCATACTGTTAATATTGATATCAGAATCCCTATATAGTGTAAATCGTGATAAGTCATTATGGCTAAGTTGGGGTCACGATCGTATGGGGTCGGATTTTTTCATGGGGATATAGAGGGAAAAATTATTCTTTCAACTGGAAGTTGTGGTCCTTGGGCATCTTGTGGTTATGCTTTTGTTAAATTCGTTGGTGATCCTTATCAACAAGTATGCGACTATTTTCAAAAACGTAATATATCTTTCATATAGAACTATTTGCCTGGAAATACTGTGAAAATCCATACCCACTAACTGAAAAGATTGCACAGTATATATTTCGATTATTGCTAATTCAGATTACATGTAACTGGTGTGATACATATACATGTATAAACACACATCCATAAAGTATTGACGTAAGTTTACCAGGAAAAATTCGAAAATAAGCAATGCAATCTGGATATCTTTTTGTTATAAGAAAGCAGTCGTGATGGTTTACTTGTAATATGATAAAGGGAAGTAAAACATTGCCGGTATAATAACAGTATTCACGGAGACAGGAAACAAACGTAAAATAAGTCTTCACTCAAGGTTTACTAAAGATAACAATATAAGAAGACTAAGTAAGTAACACATACTATGCAAAGGAACATAAGTTGTCATACAAAAAGCACTTGAATTTGAACAGACTGTAAGAAATGGCAGGACGAAGTCCCCGATTCACACAAGGTATGCTTAAGTTTATGTCTTTTTTATTTAACTTTTGCTAAATCTCTCCATTGACATTATTGATTATTGTTTTGATTTAATGAATTATTGTCTTCTTACAGACAGCATTGATAAAAGAATAGATAAATTGAATTAAAATTCATTAAATATAAGTTTAAAAATAAAATGTATTTTAAAAGCTAAGGTATATTGAAGGATTTTGGTTTCGTCCTTAAAGCTTTTTTATTAAATGTAATCTCTATGACTATACTCCTTAAAAATTCAAGTATGGATAGTTTTATAAAAAGAATTTTTAACATATTTATAAATATACAATGTATACATATAAATATGAGATGTTTGATACTTTTTTACAGGTCAAACCACTTCAAGCCTTACAAATATTTTTACCTTCACAAAATCATCAGAATGTAAGTTTTTAAGGACACGGGATACCCAAGAATTTTTTATATAAATTTATTAAACAGCTCGTTATGTCTTTTTAATTGATTAAACTCATATTTATGATGAAAATTTCCTACCATATCAGTCTTATATTTTCATTCTCTCCAAATCTATACTCTGTATTGAAATTAAATGCCAAAACAAGAAAAAAAATGAAATCCCTCCAAATACATTTTATATATTTATTTTCAAGTTTATAATGTAACAAATTGAATTGAATTTAAAAACAGCTATATACAAAAAGCTGTGATAAAAATACCGAACTTTCTCCGCATTTTGCTTATCCTATTACCTTAACAAGAAATACAGAAATAACCTTGAAAACTTTTACATGTACTAAGATATAGTAGATATATTCATAAGATTTTTCTAAAAAAAATAATTCTTCTGGCAAACTATATGAAAAATATTCTGCAATTTAACAATATTTCTTTTTTGTATTGCATAATTCTAAGTGACTACCAACACTTCACCAACCATTTCAAGCAAAACGACGCTATTTATCTTACTTCCGGCATCGGTAGCAGTTATGGTGTTCTTTGTAATCATCTTTGTTTGTTGGCTCTTTTGTCGTCGGAGGAAGGAAGCATTAACTGAGACATATAACCACTACTCACATGTTGATCAGACGGAGGTATATATATATATATATATATATATATATATATATATATATATATATATATATGACGGCATTGTAATTGGTTGCTTGGGTATATGATATTGAAAAATAAACATCATGCACAATGCACGTAGGCAAGTTTTTTTTTATCCAACTAAACGTTAATAATTAAGTATCTATGACTTCAGTTTGTAGATTTTCACCAAGGCAGTGAACAGATTTTAACAGCAAATCAAATTGAATACGAGATGGTGATATATCCTGCGTCTGACGTAGCTAATTCTGACAACATAGATTCGGGCTTTTCTCAAACAGATGACAGAAATGGCAATTTATTTTCCATGGACAAGTCTACAAAGGAAAGGGTACTTTTAAATGGTCCCCAGTTTTCTGAACCAAAAGGGTCTCCTTCGTTGAAAAATGATGATGATCTGTATCTTAAAACATCACCGTTAGAAGTTCAACATAACTTCGAAGTTTCTCCTCAGCAAAATGGAAATGATGATAACTATTTTATGTTGGAGCCAATGAATTTAAATTTTGAGAAGAAAACTAATGGACAGGTAGATGGGCAAACTTATTTTACCATAGAGCCATCACAAAAATAGCGCATATTTTAATTTTTAGGATTAAACATCCAATTCCAAATTTTGAGAAATTTTACAGACAGACATAAACATCTGTAAAGAGCATATGTCCAACTTTTTCTGTGCTTTTTTGTGAGCGGATAAACGGAAAAATACGTAGACAATTCAGTGTGTTTTTTGTTTGTTTGTACGTTGTTAACGTCCCTCTCGAGAATTTTTCACTCATATGGAGACGCCACCACTTGCCGGTGGAGAGCTGCAAATTTTGTCCTATACTCGGCACTTACGGCCATTGAGCAGTGAGGGATCATTTTCGTGCCAGCACCTACTGCGACACGGGACCTCGGTTTATACGGTCTCATCCGAAGGACCGGTCTCCACGTCCCCCAGTGGGATTCGAACCCGCGACGTAAGGATCAACTCCTTACTTCGCGACTCTAGAGCAGACGCTCTAACCACTGTGCCACGCGGGCGACTCAATTCAGTGTGTAATTGATGGCCAAACAATTTGTATGAGAAACGTCAGTCAGCATTCGAATTAATGATAGGCTGTGTTTGCTGACAAGGTCATAATATCTTCCATAGAACTTGTGAAATGATAACTTTGAATGAGACGGTGGCTTTAATATGGATACTGTTGATATTCTTGTTTTTTATCAGCTTGTTTGTCAATAGCTTGCCAAGTTTTAGAAATTATTTGTATGTAGAGAATGCTCTTGATATCAAATCAACTAGAAGACATAAACCCCATATGCAGGTGATAAGGGTACATTGTTACATAAGTAAGGAAAGTTGCCGATAGAAAAGATGAAATCATCACATTTATCATCAAGTTTATTTTGGGGTTACATTTGAATCAACATGCTTAAGGACAAGTGTCTCAGAATATATGGAGAAAATGCAAACAGTTTTCTCAAGACAGAAAATATTTATATCAAAAACTTGTCAAAAATTGTTTGTGGTCTAATTCTTCATAAAAAAATGAACGACGTCTTGGATTGATATATATTTTAATGAATAATATATAACGAATGACAAGAAAGAATGCTAGCAATGGAAATTTAAAAAAAAAAACATTTTAAAAATACTTTCAAATATAAAAACATTTCTTAAATGTAAAAATGTAAAAAGATACAAACATCGTTAAGATGTTGTTTGATATAATACTTACAGAGGTACAAAAGATGTCAATCGCCGATTGTTCTTAATGTATTACCAATTATTGACAATATTCCAATTTACCATATAACTATCCCTTAACCCAGTTGGGCAAATTTTTGTATCCCACATTAATAGTATTCCAACGCCTCGTGATGCTAATATACACAAACACAAATGACAATTTGTAAAAACAAAACTTTAAGACTATCTATCGAATTTGAATTCAAAATCATTTTGAAATAAAATCATTAAAATAACAGAGCTTACTCTTGAAAGACATGTTTGTGTTTATTACGTTACGTAATATGTCAAAATGTCAACGTAATATTGACGACTTTGTCATGCGGCATAAGGCAGTTGCTGAGGTATATATATATAAACTAAAACATGTGTGATAAAAAAAGAATCATTTATATTTTGTGATAGGATATGATTTTTATCCAACTCAAGTACTTTCTATCCTGACTCGGATAGAAATAATACACATCACACTAGATAAAATCATAATCACAAACCATTGGCAATTGTATATATGGTATAATGATGGACATAACTGCCTAAAGAAATCAAATACATTTAACTGAAAGAAAAAAAACAATCAAAACATTAATACGTGTACCTAACTTCGTGCACACATGTAGACGTTTCACTTGTGTATTATACCATACATACTTGACACAAATACAACACTTCCTTACAACAATCATGACAAACATAGTTTTGTCATCATAAACTTAATGACATCTCACATGCAACAACAATCTTAAACAATGCCCATGAGCCTTGACGATCACCTGAGTATCACGAGTTTCTCAGATAAAGGCTATTTCGGTGCCACCTGATTCGTGTTTCCTCTTCTTTGATCTCCTACATAGAACAACTATAACGCAGACAAGACCGAGGACGGCAAGTCCACCTATCGCTCCTCCCACTGCTGCTCCTATGACTACTTTCTTTGTTTCTACAGTATAGATGATGTAATATCAAAATCAAATTCGCCTAAAACTAAATACTGGTACACGGGGTACAACATTAACAACATATATACTTTTAATAAAAATTGTCAGAAGTACACATAGAATACAAAAACAGACAGAACATGGTAAAAAATAAAAAGAAGAAGAAAAATATAATATCAATGAAGACAGAGAGCATCATAATGTTTTTTAAATAAATATACAATTTTTTTTTTAGGATTTTCCCTCTTTGTTGACATTATTTCCATAAATTCAATAACAGTGTTGGATCTCTGAAAATAATAATTTCCCGGGTAATCGTATCTCAGTAAACGTGAAATAAAAATAAAAACAGAGTCTGTCACTTCTTTTTCATATTCATATTTGTTTTACTGACTATAAAAAAATGGAAGCAAACTAACAACTAAACTTAATAAGAAACTAGATGATTTCAGTTTTTCCAATTTTCCTTAGTTATATAGTAATATTCCAACACCACCTGCATATGGTGTTTATGTCATTCAGCTTATTCGATAACTCAAGAGCACGTCCTGAGTTCGATCAACGTTTAAACCGATGCAGGTTACTAACAGGTAAGTTGATGTTACAGGGATTTCAACAACCTCGTTTACAGTCAGCATTCTAAATTCTAAGGTCGTTATAATGACCTTGTTTAAGTTAGCAAATACAACCTACCAATGGGTCGTATTTTGACTGACATACATGTATTTCAAACCAATTGTTAGGCCTTTGCTTTATACTAAATTTGACCAAGGATTATCCCGTCTACCTGATCAATACATAAGCCTCACGGCGGATGTGACCAGTCGCCAGGGGATGCTTACTCCTCCTAGGCACCTGATCTTACATGTACCTCTTGAATTTCCCAGGGTCCGTGTTTTATGCTCATTAAAGAGATTTGTATTGTTTGTATGTTTTTTTAAGATCGCTCGCTGTTCGTTATCCACAGAACAGAACTAACAATTTGAAATACAGATCAGGATTACTACTACTTTATTTCACTGTAAAATCTGCAATTATATAAGAGGTCCTCATGTGTGTAATTTCCATACAGCAAAATATATATATTTATATACACTGTGTGTATAGTTACAATACATTATACGATTTGTCTTTGTATAGTAAATACTAATGAATGTGATTTAATTTTATTAAGGTAGAGTTAACTTGAAAATGTTCAGTATAATAATGGCATTATTATAAACATATAACCAGAATAAACATGATCTGTGGTCCTTACATGTAGGTCTTATCAAAATGTGTATAAATTTGTAATGATGTTTACCATAATCACTTTTAAATTTATATTCAATTATAGCAGATACTTACCATCAACTCGCTCTGCTGTTACGCGGAATAAAAACGTAGTCGTTGAAAGCGATTTTACCTCATCCAGTTTTAGGAAAACATACAGTTTATCGTGAGTTGGAACACAAAATCTGGAGTTTAGGTTTTTGTGACAATCAAACGACTAAAAAGAAAGAATGTGCAATATCACAGAGTTGAAAAGCCCAAATTTGAAAATTTCTCAATAGTATCTTAATATGTACACTGAACCTTCATTTCATCATGATGGAGTCCAAACAGAAAACCCATTGAAGGAATCAACGACAATAAAAAAAAACATTAGGTTCTCATATATTACGAAGCACACCTCGACAAATGTTATCTATCAGAAAAGAGTTTCACATCAAATATTTTTTTAGTAATGTGCAATCCTAGACGCAACAATCGTGCAGAACAGGACTTACAGTTAGTTGGGAATGGACCTGCTATTAAACATCTAGTTATAATTAAGTTACCCACAAAAAGTAGGTCAAATCCAGCATCAAAGCAAGTTTTGTACCATGAATTCCTAGATGCATTATCCATGCCAGTTTAGACATGACGGGGTCAATAATTCCTTTGAAATGCATCTGCACAAAACAAACTTTTTTAATCATCTGGACGATGTAGGTCAGGGCAAACATCCTAAGCATGTATTGTAGTGTATCCTAGGATTAATCATTAATGCAAGTTTAGTCACAATAGGGCTTTCAGTTTCTTAGAAACGGACCTGCTCCAAAAACTTTAACCAGTTTAATCACCCAAAGCAAGTCTTGTAGTAAGCAGATGTATCATCTATGCAATTTTAGTCTTCCCAAATCTAATAGTTACTTTGAAGAGGACCTGTTGAAAAACCTTTAACCTGTTCAATCATCCACAAAATGTAGGTCCACTCAGCATTCGAAGCAATATCATAGTGTACATGTAAATCCCAAGATGCATCATCACTGCAAATATGACCCAAGAAAAGCTTACAGTTACTTGAAATGTATCTGCTCTTTAAAGCAAGATACCTGGGGGCATTCAAACATAGATACATCTTAGGCTCAACTTTTTTAGAAGAGGTAAAAAGTCTTCAGGAGGGATTCTCGTCTGGTTTCTGACTAGATGAAATATTCAAAGTATATTTGTATATACGTCTTAAATATTTAGATGTAAGGAATTTAAAAGATCATAATTTTCTTTCCTCAACATAATTGTACAATTTTAAATTAAAATGGTAAACTGAGTTTGAAATCTAGCAGGGACTATATTTTTGGCGGAACAGCGGCGTATGAAAATATCTCCTTTTTCTGCTTCTCAAAATTCCAATAGAACAATGAATTTAGTTAAATTTTTTTAAACAATCAAAGACTTAAGAAAATTTCAAATGTAAGTAAAATTAATATTAATGGACTGAAGCTATAAAATATATCAAATAATAATGATTTCCCAAACAAACTACCATTTTGTTAACTTTTAAAAGCTTCCAATCTAAGTACAGATTTGAGCAAAAAATCCGTAAAAAGTGTTTTTTCTCTCTTAGTAAACGGTCAAAACTTTTCTGTTTTTATATCAATTTGTATATTTATATGATGACTTTACCATATGTGAAAATAAGAAAAATATAAATATACAAAGCATATAAAAATAACTAATATATCCTAAAAATCTAAGAAAAATAGAGGAAATTCAGATTAGCCAATATCTATTTTAGTTAAATTCTTTACGTCAGTTTGGTAGTAGCATCTGATAGATCTTATATGTTAATATCTTTTTATGCAAAAAGAAAAACATTTAATCTTTTGAAATAGAAGTAGGCATTGCATGATTGGCAACAGTGATTTTTTATTCTTATGGTCAAGGAAAAAGATAATGACCTTGACATGACCTTGCTTTTAAAATAAAACGGTCAAATTTAATCTAATTGATACTATCACTTAATGACAATGTCACCTTGAATCTATGAAAATTTCATTACCGTATTTGGCCGAATATAATACGCATTGGTGTAAAATACGCACCCCCGTTTTGAGGCTGAAACTGGGGGAAAAAACGCAGTTCGGTTGTATTATACGCAGCAGAAAATTTTACCAAGCGGTGTTCTGAACTTTTAAAAATCGCGGTAATTTGCTATGAAAATCGGCGCGGAGATAAAGTGCCGAAAATTTACAGAACACGATATTTTATTCAAATGCGTCTTTATTTCTTAATCTTGACTTTCCATATCGCGGCAATCAGCAGGAAATTATTTATTTTAACAAAGCACGAGATAATGTTGCATTCAAGTATTAACAGAGTTTATTATTAATTTTTTTTTAGCATACGGTGATATTGAAATTATACGTCGCCGTATTCTAACTATTCTTTGTGGAAATAATTTTATTTCAACAAAGCACGAGATATTGTTGCAAGTTTAACAGTTGTCATATTTATATTTAGTTGAAGGTAATCATGTTGAAAATTATGTAAATTTAACAGGGCAAGCGATATTGCATCAACAAAGTATTCATAGACTACGATTTTCCTCTTTTGAACTTGAAATTAATTAATTAAATACATAGCTGATGTTATAAAAATAAAATCAAAATTTAACAAGCGTGTAAAGTGTAGTTATCAACACACCTCCAAAGCTGTGAAAAATGATGTACAAAAATGGGATATATGTCTTCATACATCGAGGTATCTTCGTGGATATCTTATTTTCCACAGAACACGAGTAAAATGATAACACTTAAGTTTCAACATACTTCATATTTCCTTTTTTAACTCTCAACACTGCGACATTTAAGTCCGGACACGACATAGTCCGGACTTGTAGGTACCCTTTCGAAAAGACATAATTTAAAAATTTTCCTGGATTTTGGTGGGATTTTTTATTCTCATCTCATCATGTCAATCTTAACTTCCACAATGTTGTACTTTTCTTATAAACTTCTGAAGCAGGTTAAAATTTTAGGAGCAGGTCTCATTCCCAAGTAATTATAAGCCCTATATTGATCAAACTTGAATGGATGATACATCTAAGGCTGCACACTACCAGGCTTGTTTTGGATGCGGAATCTGACCTACATTTTCTGGATGAGTGACTAGATTAAAGTTTATAAAGCATGTTCATTCTAAACTAACTAAATGCTACATGTTGACCAAACTTACACGGATGACATATCTAAGGATTTTACACTACCAGACTTTGGATGCTGGATCTGAACTAGATTTCTTCTTATGAAGGACCAGGTTAATGTTTTTTTAGCAAGTTCATTCTCATTCTAAAGTTACATGTACTATTACTATAAACCCTATTCTGACCAAACTTGTATGGATGATACATCTAAGGATGCACACTACTGGACTTGCTTCAGATGCTGAATTTGACCTATATTTTCATGCCCCTGGATCGAAAGACCCCGGGGGTATAATGTTTTTGTCCTGTCTGTCTGTTTGTCTGTTTATCTGTTTGTCTATTTATCTGTTTGTCTGTCTGACTGTTGTCAACTTTAACCTTGCCCATAACTTTTGATTGGTTGGAGCTATGACTTTCATATTTCACATGTGTATTCCATGTGACAAGACCTTTCTTTGGGTACCTTTTGACTTTGACCTTGGAGTTTGACCCACTTTTGCAAAATTTTTGTGACTTTAACCTTGGCCATAACTTCTGAACAGTTGGTGCTTGGGGTTGCAAACTTCACATGTGTATTCTTTGTGACGAGGCCTTTCTTTGGATACCAACAACTTTGACCCTTTGATGTTGACCTTGGAGTTTGACCTACTTTTGAAAAAGTTTAACCTTGGCTATAACTTTTGAACAGTTGGTGCTTGGGATTTCAAACTTCACAAGTGTATTCCTTGTGACAAGACCTTCCTCTGGATATCAACCTCTTTGACCCTTTGACCTAGGATTTTGACCTACTTTTGAAAAACTTTAACCTTGGCCCTAACTTTTGAACGGTTAGAGCTAGGGCTTTCATACTTCACATATGTAATCCTTGTGACAAAACCTTCATTTGAATATCAACCACTTTGACCTTTTGACCTTGACCTAGGAGTTTGACCTACATTTGAAAAACTTTTACCTTGGCCATAACATTTGAATGGTTGATGCAAGGGCTTTCATACTTCACATACGTAATCCTTGTGACATCACCATCCTTTGGGCACCAACCACTTTGACCCTTTGACCTTGACATAGGAGTTTGAGCTCTTTTGAAAAACTTTAACCTTGGCCATAATTTTTAACTAGTTGGTGCTAGGGCTTTCATACTTCACATATGTAATCCTTGTGACAAGACCTTCCTCTGGATACCTACCACTTTGACCTTGACATAGGAGTTTGACCTACTTTTGAAAAACTTTAACCTTGGCCATAACTTTTGAATGGTTGGTGCTAGGGCTTTAATACTTTACATATGTAATCCATGTGACAAGACCTTCCTTTGAATACCAACAACTTTGACCTTGACACAGGCGTTTGACCTACTTTCGAAAAACTTTAACCTTGGCCATAACTTTTGAATGGTTGGAGCTAGGGCTTTCATACTTTACATATGTAATTCTGTGACAAAACCTTCCTTTGGATACCAACAACTTTGACCTTGACCTTGATGTTTTACTTACTTTTAAAAAACTTTAACCTTCGCCATAACTTTTGAACAGTTGCAGTTAGGGCTTTCAAATTAAACATTTTTTATCTTTTGGCCTGGATTTTGACTTGCATTTGAGAAACTTTAACCTTCACTATAAGCTGCCATACGAGGGCATCAGTGTTTCACAAACACATCTTGTTCAAATGAGTGACCATGATAAAAAGTTTTTAGGAGCAGTTTCTCTCTAAAGTTTCTAAAAGCCACACCTTAACTTACTTTGAATTGAAGAGACATTTATTGATGAACACTACCAGAGTTGCTTTTGATACAGAATTTGACCTACATTTTTCAGATGAGTGAACAGGTTAAAGTTTTTGGAGCAAATCCATTAACAAGAAACTATAATACCTATATCTGAACTAAACATACAAGGATAATGCATCAAGGTATAAAAATTCTAAAATTTGATTGAAATGCTGGATTTGACTTACATTTTCTGGATGATTGACTAGATTAGAGATTTTAGATAAGTTCATTCCTAAGTATCCCCAAACTCCTTCAGAAAAAATTACATAATTGTTGCATCTAGGGATGCTCACCACTAGATTATTAGTTTAGTGTGGGAATTTGCCTTTCTTGAAGACAACATTTGTTGAGGTGAGCTCTGTAATCTCTGATTACCTATGTTTTGTGTGTTTCCTCCTATTGTTTTCTTATGGATGCCAGTATAAACTGTGATCAAACAAAGCATTCCCTTCATTACACACATCAATATAGCAAGGTATTTTATATCCTATGGGATAAAAAGTCCCAAAATGATACTTCATGGGACTTTAAATCCTAAGAATAGCTAATAATGGGATTTTTAATCCTATTTCTCCAATGATGGGATAAAAAATCCCTTGATGGGATAAAAAAATCCCATGGGAGGAAATATCCCTCACAGATTTTTTTCTCCCATGGGATTTTGGTGGGATTTCAGGTGGGATGAAAAATCCCCCCATTCTCCCATGGGATTTTAAGTTTTGGGAGAAGTTTATAAGAAAACTACAACATTGTAGAAGTTAAGATTGACATGATGAGGTGAGAACAAAAAATCCCACCAAAATCCAGGAAAATTTTTTAATTATTTCTTTTCGAAAGGGTACCTAAAAGTCCGGACTATGTCGTGTCCGGACTTAAATGCCGCAGTGTTTCTCGATCATTTTAACACGAGGCCGATATAAGATAAAGTAAAATTACATTTAAAAAGCGTTTAACTGTTTAATGTGTCCTAATTAACACACGCTATTACCTACGAAAGATCATAAACCAACTCCCGATTTTTAACAAAGAAAATAATCAAAGCCATAATTAAGGGCAGTAAATAATCAGTGCTCTAACTGTAAAAACAATGCATTGGAGTCGGTAAACAATTTAATTGCCTGGAAGGGTGTTGAGGGGTAATTATCAAGTGACAAGCGCACGTGTTCACAACATTGGCTTCCATTCATTGGGACGTATAGAGGGGTGTTTATGTTGAAATGAATTTTCACTGAGTTATTTAAAACCTAAAATAAAATTTTATTTAATTGTATTTCATTAAAAATTGACTTGTTACTCTTTTGACCGAGTGTCTGAGTGATTAGGTACATGTGTACTATGATTACGGAAGCACGTGGCAAAGGAATGTGTGAACATCTATAAATAACATTGTTAATGGCGGCCTACACGGAGACGATGAACATGCAGCTCAAATTAATTTTAACTTGCTTTTAAATTTAATTTAACTATAAAAAGGTTATAAATATAACATTTTTAACAAGCCTATATTCCAACAATAACTTTCCGAAGTTTTAAATACGGCGATAAATAGCAAGAAATTGCATAAGTCTCTAGGTAATACTACGGTATGTGCGTATGATAGCCGTGTTTGACATGAAAGAAAAACATATCAAAATCCCATTGTGGTGTAAAATACGCACCCCTTTCTCACAGAAAATTATTTTGGGAAAAAAAGTGCGTATTATATTCAGCCAAATACGGTAATTTTTAAATACAAGAAATATGAGAAGAATCCCTCCTTAATATACTGTACATATGATCATAATTTAATGATCTTGCACCTGGTATACAACATTTATTTTTACAAGAGGCCCATTGGTTTGTAAAATCACCTGAGTATCATGAGTTTCTCAGTTATAACTAATTCAGCCCCACCTTGAATGGAAATATTTAATATGAACTCACCTGTTATTAGTTTCAAAATTTGGTGAGGACTTAATGATCATTATTGTATTCATGCAGGTTGTCTCCTGCAAGTTCAGGAGCAAAGAAGTTAAGATAGAAAAAATGTATCTTAAATATATGATTAACTTGGTGCCATCTATAAATAATGTACCATTATGCATAAAGTTTGTAAAGTATTTTGATTCTGAACTGCTCAACTTCTATAAAAGACTTCAGAGCCCTCTAACTATACACTGCACACTAAAGAGTTCTAATATGTTACATTTTATACATGTACAGATAGAGTAATCTGCCCCTTTGATCTAGAATAAAATAAATTGAAATTAGAGTTTCTTACTTAATGTGTGATCAAATCAAACATTCATAACATTTTGATTGGCCAAGATGAATAGATTGAACACCTTCATTTGCAGCTATTTTACCGACTTAAGTAATAATTACAGTGATTTCTGTTCATCAGTAATTCATTGTCTTTGAACACTAAATGCAAGGTACCCTATGTTGAAAATGTGATTTATAAACTCAACATTTACACCTTTACACACTATAAATTTCAAAATGTCCATTTTTTTTTCATTTAGGGTATAGGGTGCCCTTAAGCTTAAGAAGCTTAATAATCCCGGGGCCAGGAATCATAAGACTTTTCAGACTTTTTAAGAATCACACTACATGCATAATTAATTTTGAGTTTTCTGACACACTTTGTCCCACCCTAGGGCTTGATCTGTTAAACAGGTATTTTCTATAATTCAAAAGCATGCCAGCATAATCAAAGGAGAATTATATAAAATTGTCATTAGCAGTATGTACTGACCAGGTCCAGCACAATACCCCGATAAAGGTATATAGCTTGATAAAGCTATTTCGCTTTATCAAGGTATTACAAATACCTTGATCAAGGTTTTGTATGTAATGAACATACAAAAAAAAACCTAAAAAAAATAAATTTAAAAGTTGAATTATGAGTTGTGGTCAGTGTGTTCACTCGTGCATGAAAAGTACTCAGGTATCAAAAAGACAGCATAAAAGAACGTTTCCTCACACGACATGCTTTTATACTGATTTCTTTGTGTTTGAGCACTTTACGCGCATGAGTGAATTTACCGAGAACAACTCAGAACTCGACTTTCAGTATTCATTATTTTAGGATTTTTTTTTGTATTTTCATTACATAAAATACCTTGATCAAGGTATTTGTAATACCTTGATAAAGCTATATAGCTTTATCAAGCTATATACCTTTATCAGGGTATTGTGCTGGACCTGCTGACTACATTATTCTGTCAGTACTCCTTAATGTTGAATTCTAAGTACATATTCTTGACTTTCTATAGTATCACTCACATGTACTTTTGTATATTTCAAGTCTGTCATAAATATAAATGTATATTTACCTGTAAGGGTGAGGCAAACAAGTCATTTTTGTAATCTAAAGATGCTGCACACACTCGATCATTAAAATAAATTGGTGATATACATATTCTATATTTGGCATCAGGATCTTCATAATTCTTTGTCTGGAATATTATTCTGTCACATTGTTGATATTTGGAATCTCCAGATAATATCTTTTTCCCATCATATCGCCCATCAAATTCTATTTGTGTTTTACTGTTCTCATTGATGGTACTTGTAACACCACAGTCTGTGCCTATTCTGTCTGCACAAAATTAAAGTAGATGATTAATATTTAGCATACATGTATCATGCACAGTTGCAAAGAAATATGTTACAAAATTCAAAAAAGAATGATCATTTACTTCGTATTTTGCTGGTTGTAGTCTTTCCTGTTTTTGCAGATGCTTCCATCAGACCTGGCACAATCTCTTGATTAAGATACAGTTAAACCTTGTTATCTTGAACTTGAGGGGACTGAGACAATACTTCAAGATACCTGAGGATTCCAGATATCCAGGGCAAATACTTAAGGAATAAGCATTTGGGACTTCCAAATCACTTCGATATAGTACAAATATCATTTCTGCTTGAAATTTCAGAAAGGCGTGATATTCTCGGCTATACTTAATTAGCGTCTCTCAAATAGTGATGTAGATTCTCATTGGTTGCCAGATTAGCTCATCAATACAGAAATTTACACAGCTTTTCATTCACTGGTGAAATACACATGGAATAAAAACGGTTCAGACGTCAACGAGTGACGCAAGGATCCAATTACATCGTTTCTTACAGTAAAGAGGTGCGGCTTATGCCATCTCATTGTTTGTTAACGAGGTTCGCTCCTGAGCTTTTGAGCAGATTTATATCTTAACCTATATTTCAAAAATTCTTCATAAAGTTTTAATTCTTACAATAAATTTGGATTCTACAATGCCAATTAAACAATAATCAGTTAAAACTCCATGATTAAATTCCATACCAAAGGCATTAAGCGAGGAACTATATTTTGTGGCGGAAGGTTTTTTCGAAGAAAATGATCATTATTTCTTTTTCGAAGTATTTAAAGTATGTTAAGTTTGGATTCCTATTTTTCTATGCAGCCTGCACACAGAGTTATTTTGTGCAGTGAACTGTTTTATACTGGTCCTAAATTATATATCAAATAAACTGTCATGGATTCTATCATCATATTTGATAAATATAGCAAATATATTGTGAAAAATCAAGAAAAAATAGCCATAACTTAAGCTTAAAATTGGCACTTTTTTAGTAATATCTAAAAATTAACATCACAGACCCCCACTTTTTATTTTCTTTTCTGAATATATAAGATACTTTTAACCATTCTTCTTAAATTCAGTAAAATGTCATTACTTTCAAATTATTTTTTTTGCTTGTTAAATTTTTAATGCCAGAAAAATGAAATTTTTTGAGTGCAAAAAGGTCAAGTAATTGAACATGCGGAGTAATTTGAATTTTTTTTCATTGTCACAAATTTAAATGTGTCTATTCAAGATGAAATAAGGCTGTGTTTGTTCCCATAATTTATTTGAATAAAAAATATTGGAGGAAAAACTTTAAAAATTGATTTATGTGTAAGACGTATTTACAGTGCAAAAAGGTCAAACTAAATGCTCTGTAGCGCCAAAAGAAGCGCATTGACCCCCATTTTTTGTTTTGATTTTTAATTAAGCTATGTGTATAAATTCTAAAAATATAGTTGATAAAAAATTCTCATTACTTTTGAAGACAGGATCCAACCTCCTTAACAACAATCTTAAGTTGCTAATGTTATTAATTTCTTAACCAATGAGAATCTAGGTCACAATTTGAGAGACGCTAATTATGTATCGCCGAGATTGTCACGCCTTACTGAAAATTCAAAAATGATTTTTGTACTATATCCTTGATATTTACATTGTAAGATATTTGTGTTAGAGATACTAAAGTTCAACTGTATATAGCTTGATTTAGCTTGCTCATTGTACTTTTTTCTTTTGTTAGTATGCAATTTTTACATCACACGAAAAATTTTGCACTTCAGTGACATGATAATTTGCAACTATGTACAGTTCTGAAAACAATGCATGAAAGAAACTGCTTTCAAAATTTGTCCCCTTAAAGCATTTGCCAAGTTCTTAAAATTTTGGGCCTACAGGTATATGATGTGGTCCATTTGTTACAAGATAACTATTTGGAAACAATTCAGAACTATTTTAAGAAGTCATACTACTCAATGCCAAGTGTAAAGCACACAAAGTGATGTAAAGTTACCTGTACCCAAACTATGGAAATACATCTTTTGCATCAAAAGCTGCAATATCTAAACTACTCTATTCAAAGTAGTGCATGGTATAAATACAAGTAGGTAGTCATATACAGTCTTGTATCATTTTGTCTATTCAATATATTAAAATGCAAATGCATGATTTAAAGATTTAAACAGATTAAACATCTTATTTCAAAAACCTGTAGAGTTAATTCAAACTATATTTATTTATATATACATGTAGCTTAATCAAAAGATTGTGTCGGACCTGTCATTCATTTGTATCGGGAAGCTTTCGTGTAATGTTTGGTTTTTCTAACCTACTGGTTTCTGGAAATATTTCTAAATAATCATTTCATAATTATATTAATATTTTGTATTATTTTTCTTATCTTCCGTTGTAAATCAATGTGACCCTTTGTTTGGAAAGACTTGAATCCCAAAGCTGGCTAACTGGTTATCTGGTTTTGTCGTTTCCGATAAGATGATCCATTGAATGCGGCAAGTAAATATATATACAGACAGACTGCAGACAAGGTTTAATCAGAAATCTGTTACATGTACAGTGATGTAATTATTGATTTATACATGTATATATTTTGTTTTCGCACTGATCTGAAATTCATGTTAAACTGAATGTACATACAGTAGAAACACAATTGTAGGAAATAGATGGCTTACATATTGTCTGTGAATCCACAGTCGACTGAAATATACACCACGTGAAGACACTAATTACACACGATGTCAAGTCCTGGATTTTCATACCGCGAACACTACTATTAAAATAAGTACGTAAAAGACAGAGATAAAAAAAAAAACCTAATAGCTATATACTGTAGACCGCAATTGTTACAGCTTTCCGTCTTTCTGCCTCTTTTGTGTCTCCATGTTTACAAACAACCCCCACCTTGAACACCGAACCCGACATACTTAACATTGTAAGGAAAAGGGGATAGGTACATTGTTATGTAGATGTTGTGTAAAAAGATTTTGAACCGATATATCTTACGTATACAGTTATTTCCACTTACGATATAAATGTTTCTTCACTTCAACATGTTCAAGCACTATCGTTAAGAGATTAATGACTCTCTCACTAAAGATGATTCATCCATGATTAAGCTATATATAAATTTTATGATAGATCATTCTATAATAGAAATCAGTGTACATGAGCGGGCTTTGTTGAGGGTCAAACCAAACTGCGATGTTTAAGTAAAACCAGTAAAATTGATGCAAAACATCAAATTGGCAGGAAACAGATTTAAGCATTATAAAAAGTACTTTCACAATCATGCATTCAAGGAAAGCACAAGATATTCAAAGCTGAAAGAGTGAACATTTTCACTGGATTTAAGGGGGGGGGGGGCGTGGGGGGCGCACGCCCCCCCCTAAAATTTTCAAACTATGATATGACTAATATTAATAATGCCATACTTAAGTATATAACTAACCAATACCACTATTATTGTGCCTGGTTTTACTCTTAAAATACACGAAAACCCAGGAGCTTCCGGGGGCTTCGCCCCCTGGGCCCCCACTGGGGGCCTTAAGGCGGCCCCAGACCCCCTGCCAGAACGAAGTTATCCACGCCCCCCCCTAATCACAAATCCTGTATCCGCCCATGATTTTTATTTCAAACTGTCTTTAAAAACGGAGGAGAGGGGCACAAAATATAAGATCAGTGGCGGATTTAAGGGCGGGCGCCCCCCCCCCCCCCCTAAAATTGACAAAGTTGGCGTAAATCATTGAGAAAAAGTAAAAATGTCTACTCTCTAGACCTCATTTTTACCCTACAAAAATCTCTAGAATCCAGGAGCTTCCGGGGGCTTCACCCCTGGGTCCCCACCAGGCCTTCGCCCTGGACCCACTGGCGGCCTGAAGGCGGCCCCCAGACCCCTGCCTACTTTTTGCGCCCCCTCTAACTTCAATTCCTGGATCCGCGCCTGAAGATGAATAATTTTAGCACGTGTTCATCAAATTGATTTACCATATGAATAAATTATAAAAATATATTGTCATCAACATGAAGACGTTCAGATCTCCAGATCAGTGAACAACGTGCTGATACTCTGGCTCTTTGTCACGTGACGATGCGAATAATTTCTGCAGACTATCTGGCAGGGGGCGGTGTTGGGCAACGCAAAGTGTAGAAAAAAAATATTGCGTCATTCGCAGCTGTAGCATATTCAAAACAATTTTTAAAAGTTTTACCAACTTTTCAATTTTCATCACTTTTACCAAGAACTGCTATTATCATCCGAAAAAAAAAAAAAAACAACATAACGATTTGTATTCATATATTACACACTCCCATGTTGGGGTAAGTTATTGTAAAACCTTCTTATATAATCAAAGATTAATAATTATCTGGTGAAAATGAAAATTAAATTGAAACATAATAACAACAAATAATTAATTCATTTAAATATTTTACTCATAATTTTTAAGCATGTTATCATGAACGAATTATTTTACCGAATCAATGAAAAATTAACGTCTCATTTCCCCATGTGCAATTTCTAACACAACCACAAATAGATCGGCCGCTCCTGCGGTCGATAATAAATAGATTATCATCCTCAGAGACCAAAAAAGTACGGCTTACAGTTCATACAGTCCCAGGCCCGTAGAACGCCCGGCGGGGTGGGGTGGGGGGGGGGGGATGGGGCACCCCCACACTTTTTTCTGAGTATAGTATTTTGCTATAGTAAATTTTCATTTAGATGCTAGTTGTCCCCCCCCCCCCTTAGAAAATAATTAAAAGACAAAGTGTATGATTTAAAAAGTATTCTGAAATATTTTCACTACTATTTTCCCCTACAATCTTTGAATAAAAGTAATCCAAAGCTACAAGGAAATAGGCAGAAAAAGAACTTACAAAATACATGTATAATACTTAATTAAACGTACAAGTATACATTTGATAATTATAATAAAACATACATGTATACATTTCTAGTCTACATATTTTTAATCTTTGAAGTTATCAATATAATGTGTTAATTTCTACATATAAATTAATATATAATATTAATGAAAATGATGACGACGATGATGATAAGATGAAGAACAAAGCCCTTTTTTTTTTACCCTAACATAAAATCTGACAGGTAGATTTTTTGCTTACATACATATACATCACATATGAATGACTGTATGCAAATCATATACTAGTAATATTGAGTATTTCATGACTAGCTATCAATAGAAAAAACAACGTATACCTTCTTTAAAATCATGAACTAAAATATTTATCCATATGACGAAAAATACATAAAGGTGATCAATTATCTTTCTGAACACAAGAAATATCTAGTAGTTGTATCATACAGTTACCTGACTTTCTTAAGACATTAATAAAAAGTTAAACTCATTTATTAAACAAGACGTGCAATGTTCACATGTATAATGACGAATATGCGGGAGGGCTTAATGAGTCCTCCCCACGTTCCTGATACGGGGGTGGGGGATCCAGGATATGCGAAACACTGTTGCCCCGTGTTATACATGGATTTATCGATGAAACGTTGTTAATTGTCGTTCTTGTCAACGTTTCTACTGGAGGAAAATGGCGATATCCAATCGGTTGTCTTGATTCTATATCCTCTGTGCCCACCAACGATGACGCCGTAGATGATTGGCTACTTTCTTGATTGCAGGGTGTGTTTCGGCAGAAAAATGAAACTGAAAACCATACTAGGAAGTAAATTGCCTCTTATTTAAAACATATAGTTTTACTATAAATGTTTGCAACATATACATGTTTCAAATACAAATCAAAATCAAATTATTGTTATTATTGTGACTTGTTTAATACCATTTTCTTTCATTAGATCTTTAAATGTAAAAAAAAAAAATAAACAAGAGGCCCAAAGGCCTTAACGGTCACCTGAGTATAATACAATAATTGAGAGGATCCATAGAGTATAAAATGAACTGAAAGGTGAAGCCTTGTTGCCCAAAAGCAAGAAAAATAGGATGATCAGGATCAACAAAATAATTATAGTCTAGTATTCATTAACAGTTCATAAATTAGGTTCTAATCTGTTCCCCATTTTTCACTATCACCATACTGTATATTAAGAAACTATTAGTACTTCTCTACTATTTTAATCCCTTGTTGAAATCTCTTATACTGGCCTCGCTTGGTCTTTGATAAACATTTAATAAGACTTGCATAGTTCTCTTTTTCTATTAACCTTTCAAGTACATTATTTACAGTGATTAATTTTATATCAAAAGTAAATGGCAAAGGGGAATAACTCCTCTCAGTAGAATACAAGAATACAAATTAATAGAGCCCTGGCTAGGACCAGAACACTTGACCCAATTGTCCAGATCTTCAAAAATCTGGTAAAAATACCCTTCCCTATTAAAATTTTTATTCTTTTTGCCTCCGATATGCCCAGGTGCAGGGTGCAGAGAAGATTCATAAAGAAATGATAAATGCATTTTTACTACAGATTCACTATATTATCAATTGAGCCCCCCCCCCCCCCCCCCGCCCACTGAGAAACACCAGAGCCTCTGACCCTGGGACCAGAAGTTTGCTCATCATAACTAATCACTTTGTTTATCTGCTTAACACTAAGGAGCAGACAGGATTATATAATAGAATTAATGCATTATCACTATATTATCAAGAGCCCCACCCATACACCAGCACATCTGACCCAGGGGTCATGAAATTCACTACTCTGGAGAAGCACTCTTGCTCATCATAACTTTACACTTAGCTTCTTTGCTTTTTAACCAGAAGCAGAAAAGAATATTTTCAAAGAAATTTTGCTTTTTCACTATATAATCAATTGAGCCCCACCCCTTTTCACCAGAACCCTTGACCCTGGGGCAATGAAATTCACAATTTTGGATGAGGCATTCTTGCGTATCATAACAATGTACTTAGTTTGTTTAAATAATACCCTGGAGCAGATAAGATTTTCAAAGAAATAATTCACCTTCACTATAGGATCTATATAGCCCCGCCCTAGTACCAGAACCCCTGTCCCTGGGGTCATGATTTTCAAAATTTTGGAAGAGGAATCCTTGCTTATCATAACAATGTACTTAGTTTGTGTAAATAATACCCAGGAGCAGAGAAGAAGATTTTAAAAGAATTAATGTATTTTCACTATATCATCTAGAGCCCCGCCCTAGCACCAGAACCCCTGGCCCTGGGACCACGAATTTCACAGTTTTGGTAGAGTCGCCCTTGCTTATCATAACTATGTATTTAATTTGTTTAAATAATACCCAGGAGTAGAGAAGAAGATTTTCAAAGAAATAATGCACTTTCACTATATGATCTATATAGCCCCGCCCCAGCACCAGAACTCCTGACCCTGGGGCCATGAATTTCACAATTTTGGTAGAGGGCTCAATGCTTATTACAATTATGCCAACAGTTTGACTGCTTGATGTCCAGGAGTAAAGAAGAAGATTTTTAAAGATTGCACTAATTTTGGTGGTTTTAGCCCCACCTCTCAGGCCCCAGGGGAGCAGGGATCATGAAATTCACAAATTTTGTTTCCCTTCACACATAGATACCATGCATATGCTAAAATTGGCTGAAATTGGTTCAGCGGTTTCAGAGAAGAAGCTGAAAATGTTCAAATGTTAACACACGACGCACGACGACGGACGAAAACAGATAGCAATAGGTCACCTGAGTGACTCAGGTGACCTAATAATAATACAGTCCGTCATATTTAACCCAGAATTGATCTGTCCATGAAGAAATTTTGCTTGCATATTTTATGACTGGTGTACATAAATTACTTGTAACCTTTTTTTTTCATTTACCTGACGTATTTCTGAACCTGTTTCTCAATAAAGGACTATGTGACTTGCGATTTCTGCACTTCACAACAATTAACACGAAAATGACAATGCAGATGGCGGCAACGCCTACAGATACACCTGCCACGGTGGCAATATCTACAATATTATACAAATGACAGAATTAACATGCACAGGTATAAACTTACAGTGGCTATATCTACAATTTCACACACGAAAGGCTTGACATACACAGGTATAAGATTAGCTTAATGGTATCTGAAATGAAACAAATGTAGGACTTGACATAGGAAAGTTTGGTATTTCAAATAATTTAGGTAGCTGGAATTTGTTCGCAGTGTTTAAATGTATGGACACAAGAGTACAAAAATACAAACTTAAATCAAGGACCATCCAGAAGGTCGCTTTATGTTTTAGAATTTTAATACCAGAGTTTTCAAGATAATGAAATTACGATATCGATAATCGTGACAAATATTGTCTATTTTAACTTAATTTACTATTTAGATATACAGTTTTTATATCTCTGGTTTCCCCTTAGTTGTCCTAAAATGAATTTTTTCGTATTTAATTAATTTGTAACACAGTATCAAATGAATAAATAAAAAAATAAATAAATAAATAAATAAATAAATAAATACGAGACTTGTCCGGTAAAATCGTGGACATCGCGTTTTCATCAAAAAATAATGCGCGAACTAAAACTGAAATTTTCATCAAATGTTTTTTTTTTGTCATATTCAGGTGCATTTTAATATTTTTGATAAATTATAGGCAAAAATAAGGATTTTCTTATACTTGAATGCGCACCGGGTGTAGTCCTAAGGCGACTTATAAGAGAATACGTGAATATTAATCTCGAAATTAAAGTAGTAAATAAATAAGATTGGGGAAAATTATCTTATTTTTAATTTACTATCTATTATATCGTCATTTGGAAAATTTCAAGGCATTTGCTAAGGTTTGGCAATTTTCAGAGCATATCAAATGTGAAAGTGGTAAACACGAGAAAAATGGCGACGTTTGATGACTTTACGGCGCACCGGAGAACAGTTCAGTTACCTGTAGATTAAGTTTCTTTGTTTGTTGTTTAACGTCCCTCTAAAGAAAGCTACAAATTTTGACCTATACTCGGCACTTAAATTAGGGCCATTGTGCAGTGAGGGATCTTTTTCGTGCCAGCACCCACTGCGACACGGGACCTCGGTTTATACGGTCTCACCCGAAGGACCGGTCTCCACGTCCCACAGTGGGATTGGAACCCGCGACGTAAGGATCATCTCCTTATTCCGCGACTCTGGAGGGAACGCGGTTACCCCTTCGCCACGCGCGCAAATTAAGTAATGAAGCCTTAAGAGATTTTAAATGATAACAGTAGATAACAAAATATAAAAAAATATCATTTATACTTTAGTATTCAAGTGGATGGGCATTTTTAATGTTTTTTTTATCGAGCCCCCGGGTAGCACGAAACATACAGACCAATCGGCTAATGCATGGAACTAACAAAAGACGCAATCACTGCAGACCGTTGAAAATAGACCGCATATTTAGTTCAGATGAAAGTGAGAATACCTTCCATAACTTACTAAATCAAATCTTCAAAAGGTCCCATGTGTGTGCGAGATTGGTCCCTCGGCTGTTTATGGAGGAATAAAGGGGAAGTTGAGTATGGGCATCAGTGGGATCCTGGAATTTAAATGGGGTTTATCCAAAATTTAACAGCTAAGATGAAACGTGACGTTGCTTTAGAATTTGACACAATTACATGTATCCGTGCGCCGTAAGGTAAACATGTATGTCAATTTGTGTATATTGATGAAAAAGGTACTAAAGAGTAGGAAAAACTTAAGAAAGCAGTTCATTATTTTATACTCTAAGACAACTTGTGTGTGTGTGTGTATATATATATATATATATATATATATATATATATATATATATATATATATATATATATATATATATATATATATATATATATATATATATATATATATATATATATATATATTAGGGATGGCAACGAATATTCGAACATTCGAATATTCATTCGATGAGTTGATATTCGAATATGAATTTAAGATTTGAATATTCGGTGTTTTTCAGATTTAATAAAAAGAAGTACTGTGATTAAATAAATTTTGATTAGAACAGTGCTGGAATTATCCCTGTTTAATTTACTAGCGATCAATTCGATTTCGCCTGATTTCTTTCACCACTTTCTAATCTTATAGATTTACTAAATTATTTGTTTTTTGAGTAAGGTGTTAAAGAATTATACAATAATGCTTTATGTATAATACAAAAATTACTTTCATAGTTTTATTAGCTAGATACATTGTACGATCGGATCTAGAATCGAGAACAACAAAAGGAAATCCTTCTTAGAATGTCTAAAAGACGTGAAGAGTATACTTATCAAAATAAATTTAATTGATTATTGAATGAATGTCCGATAGAATTAGTCTGTAATTAATGTAAGGGGCTCAATTTCAAAATAAATGTGTAAATTACTTGATTATCTCGGGTTGTACATAATCCTGAATTTTTTATTCATTATCGGGAAATTAGTTAATTATCTATGAAAATTGTCTATGGAAATATTTGTTCATATTTAAAAAAAACATTGTATCAAAGATTACTATTATATCTCTTATTAGGCCTGCCAGATAATTGTAATTTATTACAAGTATTGAATTCTAAACAGTATACCGTAACGACTATCTTGCCTTTGGTAAGACGACTGGTTCCTCAGTTGAAGCTACTATAAATACGCAGGTTTTGTTTGTTAATATGACTCTTTTCTACATTTAAATCAATTATTAATTTCAAGCATTGACAAATATCAAATGGAATTTCTTATTTTACACCTACAAAAGTTTTCATACAATTTTACTTCCAATATAAGTACACCTATGCTAAACCCTTCATGAGAGTAGGGTGATGCATATTTAAAATAAAACAGATTTTATTTATTTTATCAAATATTCGAATACTTTCATTGAATATTCGAATATGAATTATTAACAAAATTGACATCCCTAATATATATATATATATATATATATATATATATATATATATATATATATATATATATATATATATATATATATATATATATATATATATTCACTAGTATATGAAACTAACGATTATAAGTCTTCGTTGCATCCACATAAAATATAAATTCCGCAGGTTTCTCTTCCACAGAAGACATAAAATCCAACACAATGTAAAGATCCTCTCCTTGCGTCACACAGAATTTAGATTTCGATGTTTCAGTGCAGGAAAATGTCTGGAATTGAGAAATCATAGATATATGTACATGTCGGTACATATGGACTGAACTTCAAAAAAAAAAAAACTTTAGTACAAATGATACAAACAAATCAAGAAAGTAACAACTTAATCTGCTCATATAAGTAAAATAAAATTAGCCGCATTAAGTTATATCTTTCATTCAACGTTTCTCAGTAACGTCCTATAATTTGATTAAAAAAAAGTATAAATTTATAAGGGGGTGGCAAAAAGGAAGAAAGTTAAACATGATAGAAATCTACAATTTCATAATAATTTAGAGATTTGATACAGTGTATATGTATCATTTACAACAAAAATACGTCCGAAAATATATATCAACTTAAGCATCCATTTTTTGTATGTAGCACTTGTCCTTAATATCCATTTTCAGCGTGCATACTACGACACTGTACAATTATATTTAAAAATATTCCTTTCAAATACTATAATGAAATATAAATTGCAAAAGTAGAAAATAATTAAAAGAGCTTCACTTCTTATCATTCCTGCATGTACAGGTACCCATATTTACTCAGTTATAAACTTATATTCACGTTGTGTCTTGATTACATTTTATATACAGAACAATGGAAATGCATTCAGAAAATTGTATCGTGTATGATATTTTTAGCTTAATTAAGGATGAAATCAATTAAATTCATACCCTCAATGCTGTTCCATTCAAGCTGTTTCTAAGGGATACTTTCACAGAGCACATTGGGTCACGAAATGTATGAAGGGTCGTGCATATTTGATATTTGTCTCTGGAATTGGCACCACGAGCACTAAATCCTATATATGAACACCATATAGGTCCAGTTTCAAACATACTATCATAATACACGTAAAAAGGCAAATCCTCTGTTATTTGCTGAGGTCGTAGAGAGCAAATCTTTCCAAACTGAACTGAAACAAAATTGGATTCGAAAATGTTAAAAATTCCCTGTTTTGATTACAAATCATAAATGTATTTTAAAATATTACTTACATATTTCATGTTCTGCTGCATCGACAAATGTAAAAGTCAACACAGTGTACACAATTGCGTATATTAACGGACGATTTACCATATTTGTTCTGAAATAGAAATATATATTTTCTTTATTTACTGTATGAGTGAATCGATAAATTAAGTTTTCAAAATTGGTTACTTTTGTTACATGAAAAGGGATCACTGCATTATGTCAATTAAACGTTCTTTGGTCAAATCAGTAACTTTTAACGTTAATCTAAGGCATTAAATTGGTGAAATCTCGAGTGCAGGTAATCACTAGTATATTAGAGCTCTTTATTACCTAAAAAGGTTGCAAAAATAACTTCAACTGATCGCATAAAACCTTTGCAAATATATAGAAGTAATACTGATCAAATTAATGGTGAAAACAAAGACTTGTAAGGTTGTTTGGACACTGTTCTATAAACATTCCAATCCTACCTGCAACAGAATTCATTACTGAAATCGTGTCAAATTGAGTTGTAAAAATAACAAATTGAAATTAACCAAGTGCAAAATCGATATCTGCAATATTATAGTGATTTTGTCCCCTTGTGATATATTGTTTGTACATAGCTGGAAGTGGGTACATTTTAATTTAAAGATCTAAAGGAAGCTTTTCGCTTACAATTCTTTTAATATTTCCTTCCAAGGTGTGGTCTTCATAAAGGTAACTTGATAATACACCCAATTCTGCAACTATAAAAGCTATAAAACTGAACAAGGGGTTAATACACATGCATGCCTAATACTGGAACACCAAAAATATTGTCATACACAGGACCGGATTCAATTACTTGTGTAGAGATCCTTTCGCATTATTCTTTCACACTCTACTTGCCAATGTCGTTAAATTAGGATTAATGTTAAATTTGTTTATTGAGGCTTTTAATGTATCTGGTGATTTATAATTACACGGATTATATGTTTTTAAAATGTCCTCTTTCTTTGTTGTGCAATATTTTGGTAAAAACAGTTTATTACAAGTTAACTTGATTTTGACTGAAGGCGTTTGGCATGATAAAATAGCATAATTTGATGAAATATAGAAATGCACTTCAATATCTTATGATTATATTACATGTGTCTATCATGGTAATAATATTATATGATTCATTTGTAAAATACATGTATAACGAAGAACGAATTCAAATACTTATTATCAAAACAGTTGGATTAAAATTTAGATTTGAAAGATGAGGGGCGGGTTGAAGAAGAATGGGTTACATTATGACATTTCAGTTACACAAATTTTTTTGTTATTTCGTGTGTTACATTAAAGTTTTATTATTTAAGAAATTCAAAACTATCCATAATTGTATAACAATCAAGATTGCTATAGATAGTTGTGAATTTCTTAAGAGAAGAATTAATGTAATACATGCATTAAGGTCAGTGTTACTCTTTGGCTTGGGTATCAAGTACAGTCATGTATTTTGATTATTAGTAATATGCAAGATACCTGTACACAATGAATAGATACCTACTAATCAGAGAAGGACTTAGGGGGTCTCTCATCATAATTTATAAATCACTCTAGATTTTCTGCATATAAACTGGAGAAGACGCAAGTGTACATCTATATAAGTTCTCATTTATGAAATAAAATAATATAAGGTTAAAAATTGATGCATACCTTAATAACAAACGTTTTCCTGGTTGAAAGAAAGAATAAGACACATCTTCCTCATTATTCAAATAAAATTTATAAATTCTTTGTTTATCCAGTCTTTACACATTGATACAACATTGTACATAATTTGGAACCCTCTATAGCAAAATTTATTTTACTTGTTACAACCATGCAAGATAAAAATTCAAATTACATTTTTAAGGATTAAATGTACAATTTTACAAGAAATATAATGTTGCACTGGAGTATTTTTAACAAAGAGGGCGATTATTTTTTCTTCCTGGTCACGCCATTGACCTGTTTTTTTCATTGGTGAAAAGTTTGAATGAAATGAGGAGGAAAATTTATACAGCGGGAAACCTTCTTACATTCTTGATACCCAGTCAAGATTAATTTTGTTGTAATAATACATTATGGGATCATTTACATACATGTAACACTTCTAGAGTTTTCATTTGCAATTAGACAAATCTAAAAATTATGAATCTATTCATATTATTATTAGAGAGAACTAGTGTAAAGATTATTTTCTAGTGCAAAATCGTATACCTGAATACAGTTGCACTATTATTTTCCATTAATTATCATAAGCCATATTAATAAATATATAATAAGAATAAAAATTACATGATACAGTAGAGACGACTTTGGTACGTATACATAAACTGACGTATTCAAAATTTAGCCCTATCACTGGGTGTTGAGTGGTTGGCGTATACGTTCAAAATCGAAGGAATAAACTATACAGTGAGTGGGATCGTAGAACATTCGTCTTCGGTGAGTACAGAATTTGAAAAATTAAAAAAAAAAATAATAGATTGACTATGATTTAACAAACATATAAGCAGCGTGTTATTCATGTCTCTGCATTGACATGAAATAAAAGTATATGGGTGAAATTCAGAAATAATAATCACCAACTTGATTTTTTTTTTAAATTCAACTAACCATAACATATTCTTCACTTATATCATCATAATATACATTCATTCTACTTATGATTTTTAAGTGACAATAGAATAGATAATTGTAATTGCATAAAAAGTTTCAGAATTTTTATTAGTAAAACTTTATTTGAAAAAAGAAAATATTACTACATCCTAAAAGACTTTCTAAAATACATAAAAATAATCATAATCTTGTATATGTGACAGAAATTGGTCTTTTGATTGTTATTTTACATTATTTTTTTTCAATTCTGGTTTGAAAAGTTTTAATATGAAAGAAATATCTAACAATAAAACTCCCCCAAAATCACTTTTTTGTCCATTTAAGTCAATTCTTTATATCTAAACCAAAAAGAATTTTGATATTTATTGATATTGATATTGATATATATTTGATATATTTGATATAGAATTTTTTGATACAAGTTTTCTTACAAAAATACTCGATTTTGAACTGACCCTTTTCTACTCCTGACATCTGAGATGTATTTTATTTAATATTGTTTTGAAAATTATAACACACAATTATAACTCATTTAAATCAGTTCATCGTTTTGATATTATGTATCATTTACGACAAGTTTTTCATATTTTCAAGACTTCAAAACACGATTATTAGCAATGTGTAATATATATATATAGTATTAAAAATATATGTTAAGTGATAAAAAATATTCTCTGAATTGACTGCAAACTGTCCAAACAATATATATGTAATTTGTTGATAGACAATGTTTTGAACATCAAATAGGATCAAAAAATTTTTTTTTTTCAATGTAGTTTTAGTAAAGGTAAATGAAGATCATTGATAATTATAAAACAGTTTTGTTGCACTCCTGACTGCAGAAAATTTGAATTAAAACCATAGAACACAAAAACTCACAAAGTGTTGGCTACATCAAGTGGTAACAATATTGTGCAATATTCATAGTCCAATGCTTCATAATTTAAACACTCGAATGTATTTAAACTTGGCTTTATATCTTAATATATATTATATATTATTGAATTATTCCGATTTATATATAAAAAAAAGACTAGTTAAAATATATATTAAGAAGATAAAATGTATTTTACTATTTTATAGTATAGTTTCCTTCACAGGAAATACACTGTAAGCAACTCACAGTTCAAACAGAAACATTTTACTCATCATTTTTTTTCCATTATATTCATTCATATTTGATAAGCAATATTTGTGACGTTTTTGTTGCACTCCTGACCAACAGCTTGGGAATCTTTAAAGTAGAATTGTAAGGCAAAAATTACATCAAAACTTGTTCTGTTGTTTCAATGAAGTTAAGGTGAAATTATTTGAATTTTATAACCTTTTTTCAGTGTGTATATATTTTACATTCATAAAAAATCTAAGAAAAGATAAAAACACATCTGCATTGATAAAATTGTAAAAGAGAAGGATTTTAATAATGAACTGTCAATAATTTAGCACTAAATTATTCAAATAGATAATTAGTAATTAAAGAATATTTATTAGTATGAATAGAAGTCTTTTCATCAGATAACTTGAATCTTTAAAAAATGTATTGCGCTCCTGACCATAGACATATAGATCTGACCCAGTAATTGACAAATCGATTTGATAAAAATGTTCTTTGTGTCTTTATTTTCCAAAATAATAGTCAGAGAATCATGTACAGTACTGAAAAGTTTTTTCATGCTGGGGAGCAAACCATCAAATGTTGTATTCTTGATATTATTGGGTATGCACAGGTACTTGGCTGATTTATACAACATTTTTTAAGCTTTAAATTGTATATCAGTTATTGTTTCACACTTTGAAATTTCTTTTTTTGACTTAATTGTCTTACAGAATTTTTTGGCGCACTACATTTTTTCTGTTGCACTCTTGACATGGTATAAAACATTTTTCAACATCAGCCATGACCACAACTTGGTCAAACAAAAGTTGCTAAAAATTCTGAAAAACTATACTCGACAGGTTTTTGAAAAGGGGCGTCTGAAGGGAGTTTCTTTTCACTGAAGCAGAATTATTTTTATAAATTGGTATCATTTTGGTTAGTTCTGTTGCATACTTGCAGGATTTTCCCCAATACATATAAAAAAAAAAAAAAAACAAAAAACAAAATCTGAGCAGCATTGATTTAAACATTTATTTTTTGTTTCAGATAGATATTTTGTGCGAATCTTTTCTTAAATGGGTGCAACCCCCCCCCCCACCCCCACCCCACCCCCACCCCCCGGCACTTTGACGGCCTTGATACTTGTTGATTTTTGCTCATATATTAATTCATTGTAACGCTAACGAATATATTGCGTTCAGTCACGAGCATTTTATTAAAACCATCATATGAAAACTCCAAGGAACCTTTTCATAATTGAATCTGAAAGGATAAAAATGGAAAAGGATCTGATTCAAGTCAATGAAATGCAAGAATTCAATCACTTCCAGAAGTTCAAAGCTGGTAATTGAAAGTGATTAATTCCTGCGAATCTCAATATCTCTCTTTTAATTAT